CTACCAGAAACCGGAAGTTGACTTTTTTGCAATATTGTCTGATGTCTATTGTTAGGAATTGATAACATAATGATGTAAACAAAATATTTTCAATACTAATTGGTTATAGAGAAAATGTCATTATAAGATTTTAAGACATTTGACCCCTGTGACCTTGACAGTTGACCAAGGTCATTCATATAACGACCCTTTATAGACTGTTGACTGGACATATTGAATATGAAATATCAAGTCTCTAGACCTGATAGAATTTGAGGAGAAGTTCGTCAAAGTTAGTAACCCGAAACTGCAGTTTTCAACTTTGACCCCTACCGGAAACCGGAAGTTCACCATTTATCTAAATTTTTTTCTGACGAAATATGTTTGCAGGGTTATGTTTATAAACTGCTTTAAGCTTAAGTCAATAGCTTCAGCCGTTATTGAGTTACAGCCATTTAGGTAAAATCGGATATGACGTCATGGCGGCCATTTTGTTTTTCTGATGATTTTGTAAATGACACTAAATGGTAGAGGACATCTGGGGAAACCTTTCTGATATAAATTATTCCAAAAAAAGCCCGTTGGTAAAGATCTAGATCGAGTTTTTCCAAATTGTCGGCATTTTTACAAGATCACAGGAAATTTTCAAAATGGCATACAACGGAAGTGGTAAACGTTACAGAAAAACTAAAATCACTAAATTCATCGGAAGGACATTCTGCATCGATGTGTTAAAGAAATTTTCAAGAAAAATCAAAATTGAAAAAAAAAAAATTGGTTTTCAAATTTTCAAATATTGACCCCACAGCAAGCTTTTTTATTAGACATATTTTGTAATATAATGGCATGGGGAAAGTTAGATAAGGAAATTGTCTACAAATAACATAATTGGACGAACTCTGTATACTGAACGGTTTTCGAGTTACGGCCGTTTTAAAGTTTTTAACTTATGACGTCATAGCGGCCATATTGGATTTTTGACCTACTTAAAATATCTGCATCGTCACCTTCCAGTATGTACCTATAACATAGTCAATACATATTAGGTGTGGTCTTTACCGTTTAAAAGATTACGAACCCACAAAGTTCGGAAGAAAAATAATAATAATAATAATAATAAGAAACATAACAAAAACAATAGGTCTTTTCACCAAATGGTGAAAAGCCCTAATGATCAAATATATTCAAGAAAGAAATATAAGAGGCGTTCCATTCTGTGTATCCTCATCCTGTTAAAACACATTACTAAACCTGGCATACCTTACTGTGTTCTATATATAGAGGTGTGCTGCTGACATGTAACCAAAACATGAAGTGAAAGAATCACTTTTTGAAATATCAAGCAAAATAAAAACACTGGGTAGAAATGTTTTTTACAATTTTCATCAAAAAGTGTTCCAAATCGGGTAGTGTCAGGTAAGATGTTACTGTTGTTAGATTTTATTTTTTTTACAATAAGAAATACTGGTAACTCTGAGATAAAAGAAAACTCCAACCTTTTAAATTGTTCACATTTATTTATGCATGTATTGCACTTGCCCAAAGCATCACAATGTCATTCATAGTGCAATGAAGTTCAATTATTGAGACAAAAAGTCTTCACATAGTTACTAAATTTCCGGGAAAATGCTACCAGGTAAAAAAATTGTCCAACAGATTAACCTTCATGAAAGTCATACTGAAGTTACATTTGTATAACAATAGGAAAACAACACGTCTATAACGTAGTAGATATATACATTAACTTGTAAGCTATACATAAAGATATAAAGTCACAGAATTTAGACACAAGTTGTTTTTTTTTTATCACAGTTAACAATTCTCAACATAAGCCAAATTTGTATGTGTGTGTATGTACCTGTATATATATGGTGGTATATGTGTATGTACCTGTATATATATGGTGGTATATGTGTGTGTATGTACCTGTATGTATATGGTGGTATATGTGTGTGTATGTACCTGTATATATATGGTGGCATATGTGTATGTACCTGTATATATATGGTGGTATATGTGTATGTACCTGTATATATATGGTGGTATATGTGTGTGTATGTACCTGTATGTATATGGTGGTATATGTGTGTGTATGTACCTGTATATATATGGTGGCATATGTGTATGTACCTGTATATATATATGGTGGTATATGTGTATGTACCAGTATATATATGGTGGTATATGTGTGTGTATGTACCTGTATGTATATGGTGGTATATGTGTGTGTATGTACCTGTATATATATGGTGGCATATGTGTATGTACCTGTATATATATGGTGGTATATGTGTGTGTATGTACCTGTATATATATGGTGGTATCTGTGTGTATGTACCTGTATATATAAGGTGGTATATGTGTGTGTATGTACCTGTATATATGTGGTGGTATATGTGTGTGTATGTACCTGTATATATATGGTGGTATATGTGTATGTATGTACCTGTATATATATGGTGGTATATGTGTGTGAATATACCTGTGTATATATATAGTGGTATCTGTGTGTATGTGTGTGTATGCAACTGTATATATATGGTGGTATATGTGTGTGTATGTACCTGTATATATATGGTGGTATATGTGTGTGTACCTGTATATATATGGTGGTATATGTGTGTGTATATACCTGTATATATATGGTGGTATCTGTGTGTGTATGTACCTGTATATATATGGTGGTATATGTGTGTATGTACCTGTATATATATGGTGGTATCTGTGTGTGTATGTACTTGTATATATATGGTGGTATCTGTGTGTATGTACCTGTATATATATAGTGGTATATGTGTATGTACCTGTATATATATGGTGGTATATGTGTGTGTATGTACCTGTATGTATATGGTGGTATATGTGTGTGTATGTACCTGTATATATATGGTGGCATATGTGTATGTACCTGTATATATATGGTGGTATATGTGTGTGTATGTACCTGTATATATATGGTGGTATATGTGTGTGAATATACCTGTGTATATATATATAGTGGTATCTGTGTGTATGTGTGTGTATGTACCTGTATATATATGGTGGTATATGTGTGTGTATGTACCTGTATATATATGGTGGTATATGTGTGTGTACCTGTATATATATGGTGGTATATGTGTATGTACCTGTATATATATGGTGGCATATGTGTATGTACCTGTATATATATGGTGGTATATGTGTGTGTATGTACCTGTATATATATGGTGGTATCTGTGTGTATGTACCTGTATATATAAGGTGGTATATGTGTGTGTATGTACCTGTATATATGTGGTGGTATATGTGTGTGTATGTACCTGTATATATATGGTGGTATATGTGTGTGTATGTACCTGTATATATATGGTGGTATATGTGTGTGAATATACCTGTGTATATATATAGTGGTATCTGTGTGTATGTGTGTGTATGTACCTGTATATATATGGTGGTATATGTGTGTGTATGTACCTGTATATATATGGTGGTATATGTGTGTATGTACCTGTATATATATGGTGGTATATGTGTGTGTATGTACCTGTATATATATGGTGGTATATGTGTGTGTATGTACCTGTATATATATGGTGGTATATGTGTGTGTATGTACCTGTATGTATATGGTGGTATATGTGTATGTACATGTATATATATGGTGGTATATGTGTGTGTATGTACCTGTATATATATGGTGGTATCTGTGTGTATGTACCTGTATATATATGGTGGTATATGTGTGTGTATGTACTTATATATATATGAGGGTAATTGATATGTATCTCCACTTTGTCTCTCTATATCTCCACATTGTCTCTCTGTATCTACACATTGTCTCTGTATCTCCACATTGTCTCTCTGTATCTCCACATTGTCTCTCTCTGTATCTCCACATTGTCTCTCTCTGTATCTCCACATTGTCTCTCTCTGTATCTCCAAATTGTCTCTATGTATCTCCACATTGTCTCTCTGTATCTACACATTGTCTCTATGTATCTCCACATTGTCTCTCTCTGTATCTACACATTGTCTCTATGTATCTCCACATTGTCTCTCTGTATCTACACATTGTCTCTATGTATCTCCACATTGTCTCTCTCTGTATCTCCACATTGTCTCTCTCTGTATCTCCAAATTGTCTCTATGTATCTCCACATTGTCTCTCTCTGTATCTCCACATTGTCTCTCTCTGTATCTCCACATTGTCTCTCTCTGTATCTCCAAATTGTCTCTATGTATCTCCACATTGTCTCTGTATCTACACATTGTCTCTCTGTATCTACACATTGTCTCTATGTATCTCCACATTGTCTCTCTCTGTATCTACACATTGTCTCTATGTATCTCCACATTGTCTCTCTGTATCTCCACATTGTCTCTCTATTTATCTACTATTATATTGTGTACATTGTTATGAATAGAAGTTTTAAAAAATGGGGTAAAAATCCCAACATAAACGATAAAATTGTTGTTAGAACGTTCTCTAGACTACCTCACTCCAATCTGAACACAGCTCAATATTACAACCGTCAAAGTACCATGACAATGCCACATAGACCTGTCCTGTTCCCTGAGGAAATTTCAGTTTTGTAAATGTTTAACATCATACCCATAAAAATAAAGATGTATTCCTGGTTACGATACCTTACACCTTTCAAACAAACTGGTTTAAAACTAAGAGAAGATCAACAGACAAGATTTTGGAATACTTACATAGGAATGATGATCTTGGCATAACAGACAGAACATATTTTCTTCACAATTTTGTGTCAATACAAAAGAGATCACAAAAAAGAATTGACATTTAAGGGTGTATACTACCTTACAGCAATACATCTCCATTCCAAAAATTTCCAAAGACAAAAAATTTAAAATCATAGGTTAATGCTGTTAATCAAGGTAATCTTAATTGGTGACACTTGTAAAATTGTGGGCAAAGACTAATTGATAACATATACTTAATCAGTTAATAACACATCATTAGTTAATAACACATCATTAGTTAATAACACATCATCAGTTAATAACACATCATTAGTTAATAACACATCATCAGTTAATAACACATACTTCTCTAATCGATAACATATCAAAATGGATTTCAGAGTATGCATGTGAAACATTAAAGTGACAACATTGTGTATGTCTGTAAGATATGCTTATAAAGTTGCCTGAAAACCTATTCTCTCTGGTCAATATACACAGCTGATCAGAAGTTAACTGTACTGAGGTCATAGTTAGTCTCTGTCCGAGTGTGGTGGAGTGCTACATCCTCCAGAAAATGGACATCAAGAGGGCTCCGCTGGAAAGGTACCTTGCCATCCGACTTTAACCGCTGTGCTACATCTACAGAAGGTAACAAACTACCATGTCATCAGAACTGCGAAATCTGATTTTCTCATTAGCAACAACTCAGGGATTTGTAAAACGTTGAACTTTTATCAACAAAACAAGCTAACAAATGAACCTGTCGTCACAAACTAAGAGTTCTTTATTTATCTAATGATTTGTAAAACACCTAGAAATCATCAAGAAAATGGAAAAAATGAAACTCGGAAATTTCAAACATCCTCACAACCTCACAATTTATAATAAACATCATTCTCAGAAATGATAATAAAAAACAAATCTGTGATGATTTGGTTCAAGATTTGAAGCTTTTAGATGGTAAGTTTAAGCCATGTCTTAACCCCTTATAAAAGTAGCATGGTTCAGAATATACCCATCAGTTTGATGGTCTTCTGGAATTATCTGATAAAACAACTATTTATGGAATTATGGCATCAGTGTACCTTTCTATCAAAACTTTGACATTTCTTTTAATCTCTGATTTCCTTCAGTGGCCTCAGAAGTTTCCATATTTAGGTCCTTAGTATTAATGATGTTTCCATTCATTAATTGGCTCTATTATATCTCATCCAAAATTTGTATTATCAGGTGGTATTCACCTGTGCCTTCTGTGCAAATATCGTAAGATGTAGTCTGACCAAGAAATCGTATACAAACCTAGTTTCTCGAGGAGTTGTAGGAATGAAACCAGAGGTGAAAAAAACATGGAGTCATGGGTACTGCTTACACTGATATTGTCCGCTATAAAACACAACATGAAGAACAGATAAAGGGAAGTAACTGGAACTATGCTGTCAAGATAATATTACCTTTGTGAAAGATACTATCCTGTCATTCCACATATAAATTAATTTGTATCTTTAGGCTTTACTGGCCAAAGTATATACAAACATTATAAATTACTGAATATTCTTAGTTCTAAGACAAAAGATCTACAGGACCTGTACTGCTTCCCTGGTTTTAATGGAATCATTGTCACAATGCCTATGCAGTTTCAATGTACTTTTCTGCTGATAAACTGTTGCAAATTTCATGTTTGGTAGCATGTCAAAACAAGGATGTGCAAGATTACAGATAAAAAATTCCTTTATCCCAAAGAAGAAGAATTGTAAATATTTATCACATATTCTATATATAGCTCCATTCCACAGTCCGAGGACCAGATCCCAAAGGATAATCAAGGATAATCCATCTCAAACTTAGATAAAACACCTGTTTTTGATTCACCAGGTGATATAGAACAAAGCCAAAGAGGAATTTTGAATATCTTTTTTGAAGAGCATCCATGTCAAAGGAACTCAGTTTGGTAGTGAGTGTCACTGAACTCATCATTCTATGTATGTAAGTAGACAACATCGAAGTTTGTCGACAATCAAGCTGCTTCATTCCTGGAGGGATTCTCATCAAACTTTACACACCAAAAGGGCATTATAGTATCTTGGACAAGTTTGGGTTTCAGGGTTGTTGGGTGAAGGTCAAGGTCACTGTTACCATTTTAAGAAAACTGTCAGCACTATACACGCTTTATTCCTTGAGGAATTCTCATCAAACTTTACACATTTAAAGCATCAAATTATCTTGGACAATTCGGAGTTTCAGAATTTTTGGGTCCACGTTACTATTATTATAATCAAAAAAATAACTGTCAGCACTCTAGCATCTTCATTCCTTATTTTCATCAAACCACACACTTTTACAGCACTAAATATCTTGTACAAGTTTAAGTTTACGGGTTGTTTGGTCAAGATCATCATTACTATATTTATAAAATTGTTATTAGTTCTCTGTCACATCATTCCTACTGGGATAAACCCTTACACACTTACAAATAACTATATCACCACTAAGGAAAGTGAGTTTCAGGGTTGTAGGGTCAAGGTCACTGTCACTATTTTTAGAGAATCATTGTCAGTGACCTCACTCCTTGAGGGATTCTCATCATAAAGCAGACTTTCAAGATTGTTGGATCTAGGACAAGGTCATCGTTACTTTTTTCAGTCATTGCTCCAGTGGATTCAATCCTTGAGGAATTTCCTTCAAACTGCACACAATTTTAAAGTACCAAGATATCTTTTATGAACATCATTGTCAGCACACTAGTGGCTTCATTCCTTACAGGAATTTGATCTCATACATTTACCAATTACCACAACACACATACTTTTATATATTGGTGATGAAACAGTATTGACCGATCTTTATATTTTTTGCATTGCCAAATTGGCACCAAACAGCACCATCTCTTTAAATCATTACATGTATTGCTTCAGCAATACTCAGTATGTTTGTTGACTTGCAAGCTGAATCAGAGCCTTTATAAACAAATGGTGAGTGTAAACTTACCACCTCTGGTTTGGCTGGGTACTGACTGGTCCTGTGCAACGTCCATTGTTTTGTCTGATGCTCCTGTATATACTCCACCTGTAAGAAACAATTACCTGGGATATCAAAGGGACACTACTTCAGTAAAGTATATTCTTGTCGTTCTAATTAACATGAGAGGTTTCTGACAAATGACTTACCTGTCAGTAGTTGTGTGACCTGTTTCTGGGACAGGTATTTCTTACACAAGACTTACCTGTGAGTAGTTGTGTGGCCTGTTTCTGGGCCAGGTATTTCTAACACAAGACTTACCTGTGAGTAGTTGTGTGACCAGTTTCTGGGCCAGGTATATCTAACACAAGACTTACCTGTCAGTAGTTGTGTGACCTGTTTCTGCGCCAGGTATATCTAACACAAGACTTACCTGTCAGTAGTTGTGTGACCTGTTTCTGGGCCAGGTATTGCTACCACAAGACTTACCTGTCAGTAGTTGTGTGACCTGTTTCTTGGCCAGGTATTTCTGACATATTGGATGGTTCCACTGTCTGTAACATTCTTCTGCCAAATCCTGAATGATATTTAACGTTAATTGTAAATAAGTTGGGTGTTGTCAATTGAGATGATACTAAAATTGTACAAATTTAATTGACACCAGATTATTCTATAGTAAGATTATTCCCAATATAAATACTTCCTTCCAGAAAAATTGACATAAAGGACATTTGATGTCAGAAAACCTGTGCAATGTTTGATTAATCTTGAAATAAAAAACACACATTGTTTATGTGACAATTTGACCTGTATAACATTAGACACTACAATAGAACCAATGAGACATTACCACAGGGAGTCGGGATATCAGCTGCTGCTTGAATGTGACATTGTCACTGTCATCAGGTAAATCTGAAACATAGACAACACAATTTGTTAACACAGAACTGATACCTTAAGGCAGATTAAAATATCAGGAACACAGTATCTAATTTGTACCTATCTTATAGTACACAAAAACATCATCTGAATTTACATGATGTTTTAAACTTGGTTTTCTTATCATACAAATAAATAGAGGATCTTAAGTTCATCTCATTTTACAAGTGTTTTATGAAATAATTGAAGAATATTTCACTTTACAAATTTAAAACAAGTTTCATTAATCTCATAAAATTGAAACAATTGTGTGATTCTGTTTATCATATAACTAAGATAATATTGTAAACATTTGAGAAAAAAGAAATCTATATGATAAAATTTGAATTTGTGACCTTGTCACTCTACATCTCTTTCGTTGAAGACATCACAATACATATAACACCATGTAGTTGTGACATGAAAATAGTGGGAATGATCAGCCAATCATTGCCTCACTAGGTCACATTACATGTGATATCATACTGCAGTTTAGGTAACAGGTGTTATAACTCCAAGAAGCAGGAGAATTATAGTGACGAGTCAGAATGGTGAAGACTATGATGGTGTTCATACAGTCAGAAAAAAGGATTCTGCATGCATTTGAATACCATAAACCATTTATGAAACATGTCACAAGGAGTGATCACATATATATTTACATCTGGTATGTAACAGTATCTGTTTTGTATTGATGTCCAGCATGTATACCTGGTATGTAACAGTATCTGTTTTGTATCGATGTCTGGTATGTATATCTGGTATGTAACAGTATCTGTTTTGTATTGATGTCCAGCATGTATACCTGGTATGTAACAGTATCTGTTTTGTATTGATGTCTGGTATGTATATCTGGTATGTAACAGTATCTGTTTTGTATTGATGTCTGGTGTGTATATCTGGTATGTAACAGTATCTGTTTTGTATTGATGTCCAGCATGTATACCTGGTATGTAACAGTATCTGTTTTGTATTGATGTCTGGTGTGTATATATGGTATGTAACAGTATCTGTTTTGTATCGATGTCCAGCATGTATACCTGGTATGTAACAGTATCTGTTTTGTATTGATGTCCAGCATGTATACGTGGTATGTAACAGTATCTGTTTGGTATCAATGTCTGGTGTGTATACCTGGTATGTAACAGTATCTGTTTTGTATCGATGTCCAGCATGTATACCTGGTATGTAACAGTATCTGTTTTGTATCGATGTCCAGCATGTATATCTGGTATGTAACAGTATCTGTTTTGTATCGATGTCCTGTATGTATATACATTGTGTATCTTGTACATACAAGTATCTGTTTTGTATTGATATGAAAAGCTTCTCACCTCCTAAAACTTGGGCCATGAAATCTCCAGTCAGTCGTAGAACCCCTCGGTCTATGTATTGGAAGAACAAACTACAACACAAGATTTTACAGACTTCAGTTTCCTAGTTTTATTGACTAGTTAACTTATGACAATGATTTCTAAAATCTGCTTCTATTATCAATCTTTCTGAATCAAACATTACATACCCAATTTTACAAAGGTTACTACATGAGATAAGAAATAATTTTTTTTAAAATGAGTAATATATAGAGCGATTTTTCCACTTGTCTATTTGACCATTACATATTAGATAATTATAGGAGTCTTACCTTTTGTTCAGGCTCCGTGCTCCTAAAGTGGTGAAGTAGGACGAAAATCCTAAAATAAGAACAGAATATTAATTTTCATACACTAAGAATTGATTTTATTTTATCTTTAACAAGAGATCCCAGTGGGACCTTGGCATCTTAAGTTGTTCTAATTACCTCTATTCCTGCTCTTAATTACATGAAATTTGAAAATTTCTTTGAAAACAGTGATAATAATCTTTAGAGTGCAAAATCTAGGATGTTTTTTTGTTTGTTTTTCTAATCAGCCCAAAACCAAATGGGCACAACTAGAGAACAAAATGAACAGACACTGAAAAATTGAGAAAGATCTATCTCACATTTCTAACAATGTAGCAATAACAAACCTTCATTGTCAAACTACAAGATGGCCACCTGTCAGCCATTTGTTTTTCTGATCAGTTCCTAAATCAAAAGAGCACAACTAGGGACCAAGGGGGACTTCCATCCCACACTTGTGAGAAATGGCGGTAAAAAGAATTGTTACTGATGGACGACGGACCACAAAGAGAGATTTGAAGAGCCTATCATCATTGTCAGATGGTTGGCTTAAGATTCAAAACAAATGAACTGGCATAAAATATGAGGATGCTTTGTAGATAACAAAATTTCTGCATTTTTTAATATGACTGCAGGAAGCTCTCACCTTGAAGTAAGGGGAAGACATGGTCCTGACATGCAAGGTAATATCTTTCAAACAACTGGAACAGTTCATACTCATCCTCTGTACAGGGGTCAAGTCTGAAATAGGAAGAACGTAACCAGTAACAAACGATCATTAACACTTGATACAAAAGTACTAAAAGGATTGTCTTTAAATTGTTGAGAATCGGAAATTCTGTTTCTATCTATTTATTGATAAATAAAAAATACCTAATAAGTCACATTACACCCAATTAACATCAAATACTCCCACAAGGATTAACATCAAATCACTCCCTCTTATCAAATGCTCCTACAAGGATTAACATCAAATCACCCCCTCTTATCAAATACTCCCACAAGGATTAACATCAAATCACTCCCTCTTATCAAATGCTCCTACAAGGATTAACATCAAATCACCCCCTCTTATCAAATACTCCTACAAGGATTAACATCAAATCACCCCCTCTTATCAAATACTCCCACAAGGATTAACATCAAATCACCCCCTCTTATCAAATACTCCTACAAGGATTAACATCAAATCACTCCCTCTTATCAAATGCTCCTACAAGGATTAACATCAAATCACCCCCTTTTATCAAATACACCCACAAGGATTAACATCAAATCACTCCCTCTTATCAAATACTCCCACAAGGAGATGCTATGTCTTCATCACTTTTAAGCTAATGAATTTTCAGCTAATTAGGTTTGACAATATTCATCAATATTTTGGTGCAGATATGGTCACTCAGTGCCTGAATTAAAACACTGAAAGTTAAGCTGTGACAAACAAATGTCCGACTTAGAAATTATAACAATGTCATGAACAAATAATTATTGGATATCTTTTTAGAAGGGATTTGCTCCTTGTACATATATCAGTTCTAGAAGTGGCCTCTTGTTAGTCTATAACAACTAATGGAGGGAAGACATAAACATGGTTCATTCCAAAGATTTGACAAGGGATCAGTCGTATTGTTTATGGAGTATATATAAATACTATGTCAGTAAAACAATATAGACTACAAAGTTACATGTATCAGTGGCCATGCCATTGCAAGGGATCAAACCTGGGTACTCTGGCCTATCTATGGCCATTGCCAGGGATCAAACCTGGGACCTCTGGCCTACCTATGGCCATTGCCAGGGATCAAACCTCGGACCTCTGGCCTACCTATGGCCTTTGCCAGGGATCAAACCTGGGACCTCTGGCCTACCTATGGCCATTGCCAGGGATCAAACCTGGGACCTCTGGCCTACCTATGGCCATTGCCAGGGATCAAACCTGCGACCTCTGGCCTACCTATGGCCATTGCCAGGGATCAAACCTGGGACCTCTGGCCTACCTATGGCCATTGCCAGGGATCAAACCTGGGACCTCTGGCCTACCTATGGCCATTGCCAGGGATCAAACCTGCGACCTCTGGCCTACCTATGGCATTTTGCCAGAGATCAGACCTGCGACCTCTGGCCTACCTAAATGCTGAAGAGAAATGAGATGGTAGGAAGTGGTTTGTATTTACCAGTGTGATTTACTCCCCCTACCAAAAAAACTTATTCTGAAAGTAACCAGGAAAATAGCTACTGGATGTGCAAAAGAGGAATGATTTTAATGTGAGGTGCGTGTACTTCATGAGGATGACATATTCCCCCTCCAGGAAAGAAGTTTCTGTGATACTTGTTGGAGCAAGGCTTAGTACCTCAGTCAATGTCTCCTAAATCTCTACATGTGTACTGATATAACAGAGATCATGTCTCTACAAGGGACTGAACCTTAGGCTCTTGGCTTACTCCTAAACCAAACAGAAAAAATGTTTTGCAAAATTGATATGTAGTCAGTCAGAATAGATATATCCTCCATCCATGCATTTTTTCTATTTAACACAAACTGTTGTGTAGTTCCAGAGATATCTTTTACACAAGCATTCTCTTTCAAAAGTGGTCAAGTTTGACCTTTCACCTCTAACCATGACCGATGACCATCATCCTTTGAACAGGTGTTCAACTTCATGGTGTGATGCTATGGTATGAATATCAAGTAAACCTCTTGAGTTACCCATGATGCATCACAAGCTTTTCATTTTAAAAGATGTAAAATGACATTGACACAGGACCACCAATCAAAATCTAACAAAGTATAGAGACTGAATAGGAACTAAATCTGTTGAGGGATTCTTGACAACAAGCTTTGTGCTACAGATGCACAGACTGAAGGACAGATGGACACAGGAAGTGTATATACACCATCTATCCCCTTAACTACAATTTGTACATGGGAAGAATCAAAATAAGATATAGCCTTACAGGTTGGGCAGAAAGTCAAGGTCAGTGTATGGTAGCAATGGACCACGGAGGTTCCACAGGAGGTGACACAACTGACGAGACTGCTGGAGCTGAAACAAAACAAACAATGCCATATATAAACATAGGAGGTGACATATCTAACGAAACTGCTGGAGCTGGAACAAATCCAACAACTGCAGTGTATAAACATCGGAGGTGACATGCTGGTTTCTTTGGAAAAGATGATATGTTGTGCTGTAAACAAGAGGCCCATGTTTATTTGAATATCACCTGTGCAGAAAAGTATGTCATTTCTGTGGGCAATATCTGTAAACTTGAAATCCTATTCCTCAAGCATGCTACAACACAAATTTCATCACCCAGAATCTATTGCTTTTTGAAATAAAAAGTTTCAAGTTCTCAACCACATTTGACACCAGTGACCTTGAAAGAGTGTCAAGGTCATTCATTTGTTAGCCCTTTATCCATGCATACTACAAGACCAATATCAGCACCCTTGGCTATTTAGTTATAAAGAAGAAGTCCTTTAAAGATTGTTACACCTGTGACCCCTGTGACCTTTAAAGTCAATCAAGGTCATTTTTTTAAACAACCTTGGTAGTCCTTTATCTCAGAATGACATGTAATATCAACACTCTCAGTCATTTGGTTATTGAGAAGTTGTTTCAAATTTGCACACATTTGTCCCCTGTAGCTTCGAAAGTCAGTCATGATCATTCATTTCAACAAATTGGTAACCCTTCATCCCAGAATGCTACAGGTCCAATATAGGAATCCTGTGCTTTTTGATTATTGAGGAGATATTTAAATGGAAAGTTTACACATGGCAGACAGTGGACAAAACACAATGTCTATAGATAATTCTGACCCTTTGGGTCAAATGACATTAAAGTGCACTATTCAGTTTTACAAAAGTTAAACTCAGTCACTAAATAACAAGTTTGATCTTATTTCAAATAAAAATGTGTGTACTCTACACAACATCTTAACATGATTGATGTAATCTACTATTTTCTTTTATCATCCATGACCTAGTATGACCTATGACCAGTTACCTGAAACATGATTTTGTTGTAATGCAATGTACATAGAAAATAAAAGTGCTAGTTTTTGTTATTTAAGTAAGGCAGAATTTGTTGCCTTTATATTCAATTCTGCATTAGACCTGACCCTGTCTTCAGACCAACAATGGACCTATATGCCAACCTCAAATTGGTTCTGGAAACCAGCCTTGTCTTAATGGTGTATTAAGACAGACAGGGATAAGACAGCATCTTTCGGGTTTGTGTTACTACAATAATATCTCCACTACATCACATCTAACAGTAATATAGTAAACGTTACTCTAATGCCTACAAACAACACTTTATAAAGTACACCATACCTGACAATACACATACTCTTTGGCTACACTTTGTGCTTTGCTCTTCGACTCTTTCCTCATGTGTCGATTCAAATGATTGCTGAGAAGATCTTTTGTCTGAAACAAAAACGTTTGTTGCTACATGTACAAAGTATTTCATAACTGTTGTGAATATGAATAGTGTTTCTTCCATAGATGGTGTGTAAATATCAGTATCGAAAAGGGTATTAAAATACTGGCAAAATTCCAGGATATCAACAGAACGTGCGATTTTCACAAACCACTCTGAATAAGACTTCATTGCCATACCTTTAATATAGGGAAGGATTTTTCATTATCGGTTCCTTAAAATTTGTAGGAAATGTATTGATGCAGCAACAGCATAATTCAGATCACCTTTACCAAAAGCCTTCCAAAGGATACCAGAATGATACTTGAATTGAGGTGACTCATGATTGTTTAAAATTAAAGGTGATACTTACACGACTGGGAATTACAAATTTTATTGTACAATTATTAATTCAATTTCTATCACATGATAACATTATTTGATAGTTACTTCATTAATATCCCATCCCTTCCATTTTTATACTATCCAAATTTGTTAGTAAATGATGGGATATTATGAAACAGTGGATTATATATTTACCAAAGCCATAATACTGTCTGACACCCCAGTTGTGAGGCTACTTTGTAGGAAAGGGGGGGCAAGGCCCAACACTGTGTCTGGTCGCACTCTCTTACTACCATCAATCATTGAAGCTGGTGAGGGTGAGTCTGTCCTTGAACTTGAATAAAATAACTACAGCATAATTTCATATGCCTCTATTGTGGAATTAAATCATCCTTCAAGTTTTTAAGACATTTTAAGGATTTAAACTTATTACAAGATGTTCATATTGAGATCAGAACCCTTAGATTTTAAGAAGACATCAGCCATGTAACCTCAGTTTTGTGGTAAACAATAAGAGAGGGAGACCAACATTTCTCCCATTCTGATTCAGAAAAATATATCTGATACACAAATTTCTATGTTGTTGACATGACAAAAACATAAATTTATGTTCTATTTTGTTTTGGTGGGCACAAAGTTTAATCAGTTATTTTGAATTTTATAAAAATACTCAAATAACCTGTTTTCTCTATTATCAAATAATACTATGTGAGTTGAATATTTTCAGACTAAATGTTAAAGACAGCATTCACTGTTTTCACAGGCAAAATGATTTCTACCTGTTAATGCGTGTGTTGAAAGTATTGAGGAACGTCTTGGCTATACTGGTGGACTGGTCCTTGATTCCGCTCTTCTGAATTAGAAGGACTCAAAATTTATATTTCATCAACTTCAATTGGGTAATTTTACCTGACCCAAATTATAAATGGGATCAAAATATTTTTCTGATATCAAATTTTAAAGAAATACAAGTATGCTAATAATTTCACAATACCTGCAAAAAATACTTGATATTAGAAGTTATTTTAAGCAAATGGTCTGTGTGACATGGTGCTTACCTCCACTGGTCTGTGTGACATAATGCTTACCTCCACTGGTCCGTGTGACATGATACTTACCTCCCCTGGTCTGTGTGACATGATACTTACCTCCACTGGTCTGTGTGACATGATGCTTACCTCCACTGGTCTGTGTGACATGATACTTACCTCCCCTGGTCTGTGTGACATGATACTTACCTCCACTGGTCTGTGTGACATGGAGCTTACCTCCACTGGTCTGTGTGACATGATACTTACCTCCCCTGGTCTGTGTGACATGATACTTACCTCCACTGGTCTGTGTGACATAATGTTTACCTCTCCTGGTCTGTGTGACAAGATACTTACCTCCCCTGGTCTGTGTGACATGATACTTACCTCCCCTGGTCTGTGTGACATGATACTTACCTCCACTGGTCTGTGTGACATGATGCTTACCTCCACTGGTCTGTGTGACATGATACTTACCTCCCCTGGTCTGTGTGACATGATACTTACCTCCACTGGTCTGTGTGACATGATGCTTACCTCACTTCATCTGTGTGACAAGGTAATTACTTCCGCTGGTTTTTGTGACATGGTGCCTACCTTCCCTCGTCTATATAACATGGTACTTACTGCCCAAAACCCATTCTCCAGCTGGTGATTAGCCTTGTGTATAACACTGTTTGAGAAGCGACGAGTGCAGTCGTTGATCTGCATCCATTGTAAGTGACGACGTAGTGTGTCCCACATGTCGTCTCCGACGTTGCCATGACGCTGTCTATCCTGGGCTGTACGTGTGCCTATCTTGACAGATCTGAGTGCAGAGAATGTGACCCTTGCCTGCATCACACCGTCCCAACTCTGTAACCAGAAAATGACAACAGAACATTATCAACAGCAATGACATCTTAATAAAAGATGGAATAGGATCTCATGTATTTCCATTTCGTAGATATGTTCATCAAGTCTCGAGCTAATGGAAATTTGGAAATAATTTCATCATTCTTAAAGCCAGTTAATGGATGTTCTATGTAATACTGTAAAGTTCTTTTTTTGATAGTTCTAATTTTTGTAGTTTATCCAAAACGTTGAGGCAAAATGGGCATCAATTAAAGTCTTGAAACAATGTTTTTCTTAATTTTCAATATATCTGTTTTTCTATTTGATTCCTCCAGTATTCATGGTAATGTCCTCATAACACTTGTATTGTTAAGACATGTTCATATAATTGAATGAGTTTATTATATACTAATGAAGTACAAGTTGTGTATATATTTATGTCCCTGAATTGAAAGATCACTGGCATTTTGTTTTTGAGCTATCTGTCCATTGTCAACTGTAACTTTGCCTGTAAATATTGCATTGTAAGAGGTAAGGCTTTCATATTTGGCATGTGTGTTCCTTGTAATAAGACCTTTTTGCTGGTACTAACGATTTTAATCTTGACTGTGACCTTTGACCTTCATTTGAAAAATTTTAACATTGGCCACTACTATTGCACCATAGTAGGTAGGGCTTTCAATTTGACATGTGTGTTTCTTAAGACAAGAACTTTCCGGTGGAACCAAATGTTTTTACCATGTGACCTTGACCATAACCCTGACCTACATTTGAACAAATTTAGCATTAGCCATAATTATTGGATCATAAAAGGTGTGGCTTTCATATTTGACATGTGTGTTCTGGTTGACATTTGGAAGTAAAAAAAATGATTACCACAATAATAAATAATTGTTCCACAAAGTGTGCATGCAATCAGCACATGCTTTACACAGTACAGTTTTAATGTCCCACTTCAAAATTTTGTTGAAACTGGGGGCAGTGTTTCGTAAACACATCTTGTTTTAAATTATTTAGCTGAAAATTGGCATACATGTATTAAGGACAGAACTTGAATATTACAGATCAGCTAAACTTTATCTTTTGAGCACATGAGAGATGAAGCACATACAATAATTTCCAAATGCACTACAAGTATTAGTTTCAATCATTATTCATAGTTTGTGATTGTTATTGTTTTCATTGTCATTTATTGTTTGTTTATTACAGAAGTTCACAAACAAGTCATACTGTAAAGAATGGATTTCGTTTACAATTACATCTAAACTGACAATGTCGTTTACAATTACATCTATACTGACAATATCATTTACAATTACATCTAAACTGACAATATCATTTACAATTACATCTAAACTGACAATATCATTTACAATTACATCTAAACTGACAATATCATTTACAATTACATCTAAACTGACAATATCATTTACAATTACATCTAAACTGACAATATCATTTACAATTACATCTATACTGACAATATCATTTACAATTACATCTAAACTGACAATATCATTTACAATTACATCTAAACTGACAATATCATTTACAATTACATCTAAACTGACAATATCATTTACAATTACATCTAAACTGACAATATCATTTACAATTACATCTAAACTGACAATATCATTTACAATTACATCTAAACTGACAATATCATTTACAATTACATCTAAACTGACAATATCATTTACAATTACATCTAAACTGACAATATCATTTACAATTACATCTAAACTGAAAAAAACATTTACAATTACATCTAAACTGACAATATCATTTACAATTACATCTAAACTGACAATATCATTTACAATTACATCTATACTGACAATATCATTTACAATTACATCTAAACTGACAATATCATTTACAATTACATCTAAACTGACAATATCATTTACAATTACATCTAAACTGACAATATCATTTACAATTACATCTAAACTGACAATATCATTTACAATTACATCTAAACTGACAATATCATTTACAATTACATCTAAACTGACAATATCATTTACAATTACATCTAAACTGACAATGTCGTTTACAATTACATCTAAACTGACAATGTCGTTTACAATTACATCTAAACTGACAATATCATTTACAATTACATCTAAACTGACAATATCATTTACAATTACATCTATACTGTCAATATCATTTACAATTACATCTAAACTGACAATATCATTTACAATTACATCTAAACTGACAATATCATTTACAATTACATCTATACTGACAATATCATTTACAATTACATCTAAACTGACAATATCATTTACAATTACATCTAAACTGACAATATCATTTACAATTACATCTAAACTGACAATATCATTTACAATTACATCTAAACTGACAATATCATTTACAATTACATCTAAACTGACAATATCATTTACAATTACATCTAAACTGACAATATCATATACAATTACATCTAAACTTAAAAAATCATGTACAATTACATCTAAACTGACAATATCATTTACAATTACATCTAAACTGAAAAAAACATTTACAATTACATCTAAACTGACAATATCATTTACAATTACATCTAAACTGACAATATCATTTACAATTACATCTATACTGACAATATCATTTACAATTACATCTAAACTGACAATATCATTTACAATTACATCTAAACTGACAATATCATTTACAATTACATCTAAACTGACAATATCATTTACAATTACATCTAAACTGACAATATCATTTACAATTACATCTAAACTGACAATATCATTTACAATTACATCTAAACTGACAATGTCGTTTACAATTACATCTAAACTGACAATGTCGTTTACAATTACATCTAAACTGACAATATCGTTTACAATTACATCTAAACTGACAATATCATTTACAATTACATCTAAACTGACAATATCATTTACAATTACATCTAAACTGACAATATCATTTACAATTACATCTAAACTGACAATATCATTTACAATTACATCTAAACTGACAATATCATTTACAATTACATCTAAACTGACAATATCATTTACAATTACATCTAAACTGACAATATCATTTACAATTACATCTAAACTGACAATATCATTTACAATTACATCTAAACTGACAATATCATTTACAATTACATCTAAACTGACAATATCATTTACAATTACATCTAAACTGACAATATCATTTACAATTACATCTAAACTGACAATATCATTTACAATTACATCTAAACTGACAATATCATTTACAATTACATCTAAACTGACAATATCATTTACAATTACATCTAAACTGACAATATCATTTACAATTACATCTAAACTGACAATATCATTTACAATTACATCTAAACTGACAATATCATTTACAATTACATCTAAACTGACAATATCATTTACAATTACATCTAAACTGACAATATCATTTTGATTATATTTTTTCTGTGAGCCATAAAACAATCTTTTGGCAATGGTTACTTTTGAACTGACGAATTTGCACCAATTAGTGACCTCCTGAAATTGTTGTTAAACCAAAGAATATCGCAAAAATTAACCTCTCATTACTCAGTTTTCTACTCAAAGAAATAAATAAATGCTCAACTCTATACTTAGGACAGATAATATCCAAATGCCAATTTATTTCTGGTGATTTATCACAGAATACAGTTTTGTATGTCATTGATATTTTGTTCATAGAATACTTAGCATGACATTCACTATATAATCAAGTTATCATACTGAATTTCATTCTTTTATCAAGCTGTGAGAGGGCACCTTAACCATTAGTATTACCAGTATCATACTGAATTTCATTCTTTTATCAAGCTGTGAGAGGGCACCTTAACCATTAGTATTACCAGTATCATACTGAATTTCATTCTTTTATCAAGCTGTGAGAGGGCACCTTAACCATTAGTATTACCAGTATCATACTGAATTTCATTCTTTTATCAAGCTGTGAGAGGGCACCTTAACCATTAGTATTACCAGTATCATACTGAATTTCATTCTTTTATCAAGCTGTGAGAGGGCACCTTAACCATTAGTATTACCAGTATCATACTGAATTTCATTCTTTTATCAAGCTGTGAGAGGGCACCTTAACCATTAGTATTACCAGTAATGAACTACATATCTTTTATCAAGCTGTGAGAGGGCACCTTAACCATTAGTATTACCAGTATCATACTGAATTTCATTCTTTTATCAAGCTGTGAGAGGGCACCTTAACCATTAGTATTACCAGTATCATACTGAATTTCATTCTTTTATCAAGCTGTGAGAGGGCACCTTAACCATTAGTATTACCAGTAATGAACTACATATCTTTTATCAAGCTGTGAGAGGGCACCTTAACCATTAGTATTACCAGTATCATACTGAATTTCATTCTTTTATCAAGCTGTGAGAGGGCACCTTAACCATTAGTATTACCAGTATCATACTGAATTTCATTCTTTTATCAAGCTGTGAGAGGGCACCTTAACCATTAGTATTACCAGTAATGAACTACATATCTTTGATCAAGCTGTGAGAGGGCACCTTAACCATTAGTATTACCAGTATCATACTGAATTTCATTCTTTTATCAAGCTGTGAGAGGGCACCTTAACCATTAGTATTACCAGTATAATACTGAACTTCATTCTTTTATCAAGCTGCGAGAGGGCACCTTAACCATTAGTATTACCAGTAATGAACTACATATCTTTTATCAAGCTGTGAGAGGGCACCTTAACCATTAGTATTACCAGTAATGAACTACATATCTTTTATCAAGCTGCGAGAGGGCACCTTAACCATTAGTATTACCAGTAATGAACTACATATCTTTTATCAAGCTGTGAGAGGGCACCTTAACCATTAGTATTACCAGTATCATACTGAATTTCATTCTTTTATCAAGCTGTGAGAGGGCACCTTAACCATTAGTATTACCAGTATCATACTGAATTTCATTCTTTTATCAAGCTGTGAGAGGGCACCTTAACCATTAGTATTACCAGTAATGAACTACATATCTTTTATCAAGCTGTGAGAGGGCACCTTAACCATTAGTATTACCAGTATCATACTGAATTTCATTCTTTTATCAAGCTGCGAGAGGGCACCTTTACCATTAGTATTACCAGTATAATACTGAACTTCATTCTTTTATCAAGCTGCGAGAGGGCACCTTTACCATTAGTATTACCAGTAATGAACTACATATCTTAGACTCTGTGTGAAAAATGTTATGAATGAAGAAAGACATTCAGTGATATGCAATTGTATTAATTCTTGGAATTAACAAAATCCAATGGAAAGTTATAAGACAAAAAAATATATGTTAGAAGACATGATCAGGAACTGATCTGATTTTGAAATCTTTATGTCCCTAAAACATTTCTAACATATAGAAAACCACTTACTTTATCACACTGTGATCTGAAGGTGTCAGTCACTGTAAAGGGAAGTAACCTCAGACATTCCCTGTCTACCTGTCGTCTCATACTGGAGTAGGTCGTCCCTGGAAAGAGATTGTCTTACCGCTATCATATTGCAGGTGAAGGAGACATAAAAATTAATTGACTTCAGTAGGAATTTAAATTTTACATGAGTGGAAACAATAAGTATGAAGTAATAATAACTTCTATGTCACATTGCCATGATCTGTTAATAAATGGCTTTCTGTTATATCATTAATCAAAAGTATTGAAATCACAGTCTTAATATGAACATGTTTTTATTATGTCAATAGCCAGACAGGTTTTCCTTTCACAAACTGAAGTGGTAGAGTGTTCTTGGAAAACAATTTACTGAGACATTGTATGTCAAAATACTTTGTCTGAAGTTCAATGTCTTATTCATGGTAAAATTTAGAACTTTGGGCCAAGAGGTACTTTTAGTTATGATTTTGATTTCAAGAACAAATTTTTTACTTCAAATTATCATAATTTTTCGGGTTTTCCAAATATGAATTTATTAAGATAAAGAGAGCAGTTTGTCAGGGTCAACAAAGTACTTATGAGTTAAGTAGGGTATTTGACTTTTCCCTCTGAGTTCAAATGAACAAAGTTCATCTTCCATTTCTATCTTAATCTTGATAAAGGGTTCACAGAACATGTGGCTAGCCAATTATAATGGACAAAGTTGAAAACAAAACATAATTTTTAATGTAATAATTTAAATGTTGGGTATAATGCTTTGGAGAAATATCTTCTTCTTTGATGTTTAGGGTAAACTTTAACTCTATCTTCTATCCACTATGCCACCAGTCTAGGGTAAACTTTAATTCTATCTTCTATCCACTATGCCACCAGTCTAGGGTAAATTTTGACTCTATCTTCTATCCACTATGCCACCAGTCTAGGGAAACTTTAACTCTATCTTCTATCCACTATGCCACCAGTCTAGGCTAAACTTTAACTCTATCTTCTATCCACTATGCCACCAGTCTAGGCTAAACTTTAACTCTATCTTCTATCCACTATGCCACCAGTCTAGGCTAAACTTTAACTCTATCTTCTATCCACTATGCCACCAGTCTAGGGTAAACTTTGTCTCTATCTTCTATCCACTATGCCACCAGTCTAGGCTAAATTTTAATTCTGTCTTCTATCCACTATGCCACAAGTCTAGGGTAAATTTTAATTCTGTCTTCTATCCACTATGCCACCAGTCTAGGGAAAACTTTAACTCTATCTTCTATCCACTATGCCACCAGTCTAGGGTAAACTTTAACTCTATCTTCTATCCACTATGCCTCCAGTCTAGGGAAACTTTAACTCTAACTTCTATCCACTATGCCACAAGTCTAGGGTAAACTTTAACTCTATCTTCTATCCACTATGCCTCCAGTCTAGGGAAACTTTAACTCTAACTTCTATCCACTATGCCACAAGTCTAGGGAAAACTTTAACTCTATCTTCTATCCACTATGCCTCCAGTCTAGGGAAACTTTAACTCTAACTTCTATCCACTATGCCACAAGTCTAGGGTAAACTTTAACTCTATCTTCTATCCACTATGCCACCAGTCTAGGGAAAACTTTAACTCTATCTTCTATCCACTATGCCACCAGTCTAGGCTAAACTTTAACTCTATCTTCTATCCACTATGCCACCAGTCTAGGCTAAATTTTAATTCTATCTTCTATCCACTATGCCACCAGTCTAGGGAAAACTTTAACTCTATCTTCTATCCACTATGCCACCAGTCTAGGGTAAACTTTAACTCTATCTTCTATCCACTATGCCTCCAGTCTAGGGAAACTTTAACTCTATCTTCTATCCACTATGCCTCCAGTCTAGGGAAACTTTAACTCTATCTTCTATCCACTATGCCTCCAGTCTAGGGAAACTTTAACTCTAACTTCTATCTATCCACTATGCCTCCAGTCTAGGGAAACTTTAACTCTATCTTCTATCCACTATGCCTCCAGTCTAGGGAAACTTTAACTCTATCCTTCTATCCACTATGCCTCCAGTCTAGGGAAACTTTAACTCTATCTTCTATCCACTATGCCTCCAGTCTAGGGAAACTTTAACTCTATCTTCTATCCACTATGCCTCCAGTCTAGGGAAACTTTAACTCTATCTTCCCACTATGCCAGTCTAGGGAAACTTTAACTCTATCTTCTATCCACTATGCCTCCAGTCTAGGGAAACTTTAACTCTATCTTCTATCCACTATGCCTCCAGTCTAGGGAAACTTTAACTCTATCTTCTATCCACTATGCCTCCAGTCTAGGGAAACTTTAACTCTATCTTCTATCCACTATGCCTCCAGTCTAGGGAAACTTTAACTCTATCTTCTATCCACTATGCCTCCAGTCTAGGCTAAATTTTAATTCTATCTTCTATCCACTATGCCTCCAGTCTAGGGAAACTTTAACTCTATCTTCTATCCACTATGCCTCCAGTCTAGGGAAACTTTAACTCTATCTTCTATCCACTATGCCTCCAGTCTAGGCTAAATTTTAATTCTATCTTCTATCCACTATGCCACCAGTCTAGGCTAAATTTTAATTCTATCTTCTATCCACTATGCCACCAGTCTAGGGAAACTTTAACTCTATCTTCTATCCACTATGCCACCAGTCTAGGCTAAATTTTAATTCTATCTTCTATCCACTATGCCACCAGTCTAGGCTAAACTTTAACTCTATCTTCTATCCACTATGCCACCAGTCTAGGCTAAACTTTAACTCTATCTTCTATCCACTATGCCACCAGTCTAGGCTAAATTTTAATTCTATCTTCTATCCACTATGCCACCAGTCTAGGCTAAATTTTAATTCTATCTTCTATCCACTATGCCACCAGTCTAGGCTAAATTTTAATTCTATCTTCTATCCACTATGCCACCAGTCTAGGCTAAATTTTAATTCTATCTTCTATCCACTATGCCACCAGTCTAGGCTAAATTTTAATTCTATCTTCTATCCACTATGCCACCAGTCTAGGCTTTAAATTTTAACTATGCCACCAGTCTATAAATTTTAATTCTATCCATCCACTATGCCACCAGTCTAGGCTAAATTTTAATTCTATCTTCTATCCACTATGCCACCAGTCTAGGCTAAATTTTAATTCTATCTTCTATCCACTATGCCACCAGTCTAGGCTAAATTTTAATTCTATCTTCTATCCACTATGCCACCAGTCTAGGCTAAATTTTAATTCTATCTTCTATCCACTATGCCACCAGTCTAGGCTAAATTTTAATTCTATCTTCTATCCACTATGCCACCAGTCTAGGCTAAATTTTAATTCTATCTTCTATCCAATGCCACCAGTTAGGCTAAATTTTAATTCTATCTTCTATCCACTATGCCACCAGTCTAGGCTAAATTTTAATTCTATCTTCTATCCACTATGCCACCAGTCTAGGCTAAATTTTAACTTGCCACCAGTCTATCTTCTATCCACTATGCCACCAGTCTAGGCTAAATTTTAATTCTATCTTCTATCCACTATGCCACCAGTCTAGGGAAAACTTTAACTCTATCTTCTATCCACTATGCCTCCAGTCTAGGGAAACTTTAACTCTATCTTCTATCCACTATGCCACCAGTCTAGGGTAAATTTTAATTCTATCTTCTATCCACTATGCCACCAGTCTAGACTAAATTTAATTCTGTCTTCTATCCACTATGCCACCAGTCTAGGGTAAATTTTAATTCTGTCTTCTATCCACTATGCCACCAGTCTAGGGTAAACTTTGTCTCTATCTTCTATCCACTATGCCACAAGTCTAGGGTAAACTTTAACTCTAACTTCTATCCACTATGCCTCCAGTCTAGGGTAAACTTTAACTCTATCTTCTATCCACTATGCCACCAGTCTAGGGTAAACTTTAACTCTATCTTCTATTCACTATGCCACCAGTCTAGGGTAAACTTTAACTCTATCTTCTATCCACTATGCCACCAGTCTATGTTTTCTGTGAAAACTGATGTTTCAGTATATTGAATTCCTAATTCTTTATTAAGCTTTATCAAAACAAAGGTGTATGATCCCTCGTATCATTGAAAATTTATTACCAGCTAAGAACTCAGCCATCAGTCCAGGAACTTCTGCACTTGCAATGTCATTGCTAATCATCTCAAATAACTGAAACATTAAAAGTGACCATTCTCTATTTTAAGAATAAAAATACAATGTATACATCAATTTTTTTCCCTGACGATTGAAAAATAATATTGAAAATTGCAACAAAACTGTAGGATACTGACAGATAATTTATGTTACCATGAGGAAATATCTTCTTTCCAGAGTTATGAAGATATTTGCAGTAACTGCACTTTTCCCCCTGGCAACTTAAAAAGATATTAAAAATTGCAACAATACAGTAGGATACTGACAGCTAAGTTAGGTTAGGTTACCATGAGGAAATATCTTATTTACAGAGTTATGTAGAGACTTGCAGTACCTGCACTTGTATGATATTCTATTTCTCTGACAATATTTTTAGCTCCTGAAATGTTTGAACAGCAGCGTACCCGTTTGATGAGCCAAAAGTCCCTTGTACGCAACAGTGCATAGTGCAGCAAAGCAGCCCTTGTTGTCTGCATCGTACTCTCACTAAATATATTTACTAGGGTGTCAGTATTTACAGCCACTTTCCAAACATCCCCACGAGTGTACTCAAACAGGTATAAATCTACAAAAATTCAATAGAAATATTTTATATAGAAATACAGTAAAATATAGATAAGTCAATGTCCACAGGATCAAATAAAATACCCAATGGTTCGACTTAGCTGTGGTTCTATAACAGAGACATTGTGCATCGAAGATTGGCCCTATTTTCACCGTTTTTTTACCGGATAGATATCTCATAGCATGGAGTGACAGTAATTAATAAATTATAAATAAATAAAAACATTTTTATAACTCAATACACTAGCAATATCCTTTACCTAAATAAACAGTTATAAGTATGAATACAGAACACAAAATGTAATGTGAAACACTTGTCATTAAACTGTTCTAGTATACATAAATTAGTGAAATTGATACCTTAAGTGATACAAATATTGTGTTCACATTTACGAGTAAAAAGTCCTGTCAATGATATTTTAGAATAAACCTCAATAAATAAGAACTCATGAACATTCTACATTGATAGTACAGAGCTGGGTTACAACAAGGTGAAGGTCGTGGCAATGTCACTGAAGCATAACCTTTCACGTACAGTACCAAAGGAGAGTATACTGTAAAGCAGAATAAACAACAGATCCCAGAGGGATCATGGCGCCCACCATTTGAGGATCTGTTTTCAGTTCTTGAAGATTTGTTTATTTTTTTTTGTGTTACAGGTTGTGTAAATGTTCATGAACTGGTCTTCATTGAATGTACTCAATGATGGCACAAGATATTTTTATTAAGCACTATTATGCCTGTCAGCCATCTTGATTTCAGATCAGTCCAAAAAGGTACAATGCACAACTAGGGACCAAGGGGAACCTGCATATGAAATTTGAGAAAGATCCATCCAGTACTTTCCAAGAAATAGCGATAACAAACTTTTACTTCCAAAATCCAAGATGGCCATCTGTCAGCCATCTTGAATTCGAATCAGGCCAAAAATAGCGGTAACAAAAATTGTTTACGGACGGACAGACGACGGACCACGGACGCAGGGCGATTTGAATACCCCATCATCTGATGATGGTGGGCTAATAAAACATGCTCTTTGTATATGTACATGTACATCCAGTAATTGTCTTTAAGATCATAAACTAATGTATCAAAGACATACTAGTATTTTATTAATCTGTGTCAGGGTGGTGGTTATCACAGATTATTATAGTTATATACACATGTATCACAATATGACAAATCTGAAAATGACATGTGACCACGTCATTAGTTTTTATTTCATGTTTACTGTGACAATGATGATATATTTGTAACATGGATCATAGTTTTGTCCACTAACAAGAGGCATTTATATTTCATACGGTGTTGGAAAAATCTGTCAAGTTTTCAGGTGTGAAAAAATTCGTATCAACAATATAATCTGAAGAGGGAATGATTCAACTGTTTGAATTCAATGAATATTCATTTTAACTGTTGGCAAAAAGTAAGTCTTTGTTTTTTCATATATTGATTCTCCTTCTCTATAGTTCCAATTTTGTATCACCTAACAAAGGCATGTAATGTGTTCTGTGCTTCACACAGGAGGCATTTTCCAGTAACCAGTACATGCACTCAGTGATGCTTCATTCAAGGCATACATCTTACATGTCGGTTGAAATGATGATATCAATCAATGACTTTTCAAAAACTGATGTGAAAACACATGGGACTACCTGGCCAATCACATACGTTTTCTCTGAGTATGATCCCTCTTATGATTCAATCTAGACAAACAAGAGTAATTACTACTAGATATTAGCTTGAATAAACATTATAGTCTATAGTTAATGGCTGTCCCTGTGTAATAACTTCATTTCTGGTCTACACACAAGGCACCAATACAAATTATTTTTTAATGTAATATAATACTGAAATAGGTAAAATAGTAAAAATTAATCTGAAAGACAATACTGAAGATTTGATTAGGTAGAACATAAGTCACCTGTAGGCGAATCTTTCTGGATGGCATGAAGACAGGTGTTGGAAAGGTGAGAGAGGTACTCTGTTGTCCTGGACAGAACTGATACTGTGACTTCCTCCTCGGAGTTCTGTCGAAGAACCGGCGAAGGAGTACTGCCCTCTGGTGTAACAGGCATTTGGTTCACTATGGAATTTAATCTTAATGTCTTGTCTGCAGAAAATAGAATGTTGTGGCAATACTCATTTTTTGTTCCCAAATATAATGCACAATATAACCTTGAATATTCATGAAGCTCTCAGTATAAGTATTCTAATTCATACAGTCCTGACTAAATGTATCATGGCCTGAAAACTAATACCCATAGAGATTTTCGTTTTACAGATAATGATACAAAATGATGGTATCCACTTCAATTTACTATACATGGATTTTAAAATTGTATTTGAAATAAAAATTTTAAAATTTGTTGACATAATTATCAACTTGTTTTACTCAGGTTTTCATAAACATTCCAGGTTCCAAATGATAAACAGTAAAGATAAATATTTTATTTCTTGAGGGTGGAATAAAATGGTAAACAATTCATACTTTGAAAATACAATCATAAGAAAGCAATGGTCTGTCCATGAAAAATACAACCTTTTGCTTCAAGGTTTTGGTAAACCCATAAAAAGTTGAACAAGAAATTTCATCCAAACACTCAGAGACGGAAGAATTCAATTGATTGCCATGTTATAAACCTTTTTGCTTTGTTTAGTAGAGCTCATGACGTCTTAAAAGTTTTGAATCTGAAAGCACCAGATAACAAGCCATCACAGAGTATGAGGTTATGTAACATACCATGAAGTAGAATGTGATGGCAGGGCTCAAACTCCAGTCCTACATTTAACAGGTGTACAAAATGCCCTGGTAGTATCACCATCAGGTAGTCACCTACAACAGATATTTGTAAATAGAAAATACAATGTACTGTGTTTATCGGAAATTAATTTCATATCTGTGGATAGTGAAAATGGTAAAAACCGCTAGTAAATAAAAATACCTGTCATAAGGAATTTAAAATTTTATTTCGAATTAGAAAGAACCCTGGCATATAAAAGAATAGTACACATGGTCTCTAAATAGCTAGACATAAGACATGTATTAAGGAAATGGTCCTGAAAATTGCACGTCTTATTGACCGATCTTCACTTTTCTGTTTAGAGTCCAAACCAAACCATCCAAACTCTTTAATACACTTGAATTATAAATAAATAGCACTTAGTTCTAATAATAACATCACCTTTAGAAAGAGAGATTAATCATACTTTACCTGTCTGGTGTTATTTTAATTTTAAACATCACTGATAAAGCCTTAGTTTTGTTAACATGATACAAGCTTACCCTGGAGTGGAAGTCTCTAGTCTACACCACTATAATTATACTAAATGTCTTATGGACTGTCTTGTGGTACTGAAGCTACACTTACTATGCCAGGAGAAGTGAAGTCTGTGTTTAGCCGAGAAGGGAATCCCTGATACTCGACCATGAAGGATCTTGGCTGTAAAATGGTAACTTTTTGATTCACCACAGAGTTTAATGGTTCAATTCTTCACTAATTTCTACAACAAATTCTTCATGAGATGTTAGGAAAACATTTGTAATTAAAGTCACAAAAAATGACAAAAATGTTACAATTACCAAAAGCCAGACAACTTGCACTACCACACAACATATTTTCCCTGGTAACAATATACTTATACTGTCTGTTGCCTTACACTTTCTAGAAAGTCCTAAGTTTACAAAAGTTCAGTCGTCTACGTTATTCCTCGCACAGACAAGTGATACATATATCCCATAGAACTGACCAGCAATCTTACCATGATGGACCATGCAGATATAATAGGATATTTCCATCACCTCCTCCTCATTCTCAGAAGACAAGGCCAGATTCAGTGATGAGGGGCTAGGCTGGAGAAGATATTGTCTATATTTAGCATCATATGTTACTAAATATAGTTCACAGAAAGCTAGAGATGATATTGTCTATATTTAGCATCATATGTTACTATACATAGTTCACAGAAAGCTAGAGATGATATTGTCTATATTTAGCATCATATGTTACTATATATTGTTTACAGAAATCTAAAGATATTGTCTATATTAAGCATCATATGTTACTATATATAGTTCACAGAAAGCTAGAGATGATATTGTCTATATTTAGCATCATATTTTACTATACATAGTTCACAGAATGCTAGAGAAGATATTGTCTATATTTAGCATCATATTTTACTAAATATAGTTTACAGAAATCTAAAGATATTGTTATATTTAGCAGCATATGTTACTATAAATTATTCACAGAAAGCTAGAGAAGATATTGTCTATGTTTAGTATCATGTTTTACTAACAAGTACTAATTGTAATGGGGACCATTACAAATGTCCCCCAAACAACCCCTTCAGCAGTAAATGATCACAATAATCAGACCTGCAGTCATGCCAAACATGAACACACCAATTTTGAATGGAAATGAGAACGTAATTTTTTAAAACTTCAGAAGAGAGGAAATGGTGATGCATTTAGTTTGGTATAAAGAGAAGTGTCCTTACCTCAGTATGACAAAGAGTTTATTTTGTGTCTGCTACTTTCAATATTAAGTACTTCTAAATGGTCCATTTAAACATAAAGGGGAAAAGGCTTTAGAATAACACCAACCACACTTTATGCATAAATGGTATTTATTTCTTTTTCACAAAGTACAAAGAATCCATCATATTTTATGCTGAGATGTATTTGGTTGTTTCTTTGTCTTTATGTTTTATTTTTCTTCAAGTAGTCACTAAGAAAATCGGACAATATCTATAATTTGGCCAAATTTAGACCACAGCTGACCGCTCAGAGGACCGATCGATGGCCAAAAGAAAAATGGACTACGCCTTTTGTTCCGATTGCGACCTAATACATAAAAAAACAATTTTCACGAAAATCGGACAATATCTATAATTTGGCCAAATTTAGACCACAGCTGACCGCTCAGATGACCGATTGGAAAAATTCAAGTGGCCTGCACTCCGCCTCGCATGTATGAATATGTGTGTAAAGTTTGGTTAAATTCCATGCAATAGTTTTTGAGAAACGCGTCGGAAACCTCGCTGGTGGAAGACAGTGGAAGAAATAAGAATAATATAAATAATAATAAGAAGAAGAAACGGAGCAAACACAATATGTCTCCCCACTTCGTTTGGGGGACATAAATATAGTTCACAGAAATCTAAAGATATTGTCTATATTTATCATCATATGCAACTATATATAGTTCACAGAAAGCTAGAGAAGATATTGTCTATATTAAGCATCATATGTTACTATATATAGTTCACAAAATGCTGGAGAAGATATAGATTATATTTAGCATCATGTTACTATTTATAGTTCACAGAAAGCTAGAGAAGATATTGTCTACATTTAGCATCATATGTTACTATATTCAGTTCACAGAAACCTAGAGAAGATACTGTATATCCTCCAGGTCAAAATATTTTTGTTCAATACCGCAGATCAGTTTTGTTCCAAATTGTTTCAATGTTTTAACCACACATGTATAATTAACAAAGAATGTTCACCGTTACATGTGCTGGTGATTTCCTTGACCGACTAGATGACCTTGTCCGCTCGCCATAAGGTGTTTCTGTTAGGAGTTGGTAACAGACACAGAAGGTCCCATTTGTCTGAGTGAGGACTACCATGTTCAGGAACATGTCTGTCAAAATAAGTATATTACAAGCTGTCTCATAGTAATATCTACAATCACGCTATCATGTTAAATAAGTAATAGAGTTTTAATGAATACAATAAAATATTTTAAATGAACCATGGTTAAAAATAAAAAATTCTTATAGAACAAAATATTTTCCATCACTAATGTCTGGAAAACCACATATGATAATATAAATTTGATAATTTTGGAAATAGTAATGATAACCCACGACACTTGTTTCAGAAACCAATGGCTTTTCATAATGTTGTAAACACTGCACATTTGGACTTTGAAAACGATTGTATGACCGATATTTTTTATGAAAACATGACAAAGAACGAATGTTTAACTTGATATTTAAAACCGTTAATAACTTTTTAATAAGATAAACCCACCTGGGATGCCATGATGGAATGGGTAGGGCATGTAGTGTTGTCTACAACAAAATAAACACATATGTTAAATATACAGGGATCAAACCAAAATAAACACACATGTTAAATATACAGGGATCAAACTAAAGATACATAGTGCTGTCTACAACAAAATAAACACACATGTTAAATATACAGGGATCAAATCAAACGTACATAGTGTTGTCTACAACAAAATAAACACACAGGTTAAATATACAGGGATCAAACCAAACATACGTAGTGTTGTCTACAACAAAATAAACACACAGGTTAAATATACAGGGATCAAACCAAACGTACGTAGTGTTGTCTTCAACAAAATAAACACACATGTTAAATATACAGGGATCAAACCAAACGTACGTAGTGTTGTCTGCAACAAAATAAACACACATGTCAAATAGATAGGGAGCAAGTTAACATTGTTGTCACTCAAAAACATTTCTTTTATCTCACATCACCATAGACAGCATTTTTCAGTTACATTCTGGAAACAATATAATTTACTGAGGGTAGAAAAAGGCAACTGTTTCATCTATTTGGTAAAGTAAGAATTTCAGTCCCTGACTGCTACTGCTGAGAAAAGTTCACAACCTTGTCATGATTTTGAAATTTCTTCACAGAATAACAGATAATTACCACGATTTTCAAGATTAAGAAGATTGCTATGTAAGTTTTTGGAAGACATTAAGTCTCTGATATTAAAGAGCTGGGTAAGTTAAATAAGCTGGTAAACACTCTCTTCCTCAATAATTTGACAATGAAAACTTTGTCTTCATTTTGCAAGGTTTTAATTGTCTATCCAGGTGGAAATCCTTTAAAAACATGTTTTTAAATAAATATAAAATAAGAATTGATTTATCGATATGCACATAGAAAATTAAGAAAAACAATGTATTGTTATACTATGTGCAGACAGGCAGAAGGGTGTTCATATGATAGTAGTATGATGGTTATTGGAGCAGAAACATTTCAAAGATCTGATACGGTACTACCAGCAGACATACCGTGGTGAGGCTCGAAGTTGTGGGAATGGAAAATTGATGGGTATATCCAGCTGGAACACAGATAATAATAGATATGTTTAGCACAGTAAGATGATACTAGGTAATATTTTTCTTAAACAGAACTTCATCATTCAATAGTAAGTTTGATATATATAAATTGCAGTACAAGGAAGTCGTTCTTGTTTAATAAAACATCAGTATCCGAAATCATTTTTAGAGGTGTCATCACATACTTAATGTTACACATGTACCTTTCTCTTTCATGTTACTGTCACACCAATTCAGAACTATTTAACAACTTTGAGACATCAAAATTTAAATGAGCTGTCATTTGACAATTTGTCAAGAATATGAACTCATAGTGGAAAATTCTGCAGAATTACATGTCAGAATATCAGTGTTATTTGAATAGCTGTTATCATGAAAGACTTGAAAACATGTCTCGTACCACATTGTCATGTTTAGCCTCGTCATAGAATTGTACACTGGAGATGAAGGGCTGTATTTGTTGGCTGTCTGCCTTGCCGTAACGCTGATAGTGTACATAATACAGTCGCTGATTGGTTATGTCCCACTGACACCAGTAAAATTTTTTTGTCAGCTGTTCTGTCGAAGGCTGATCACGCATCACCTGCGTGCACAGATTGATTGATAAAGATAAAATTAAAAACTTAGTGAACACAATAACAATTTTGTAATTACCGATAAATATCAGCTGTAACTTCACTGATGCAAATTAAATATTTATTATATAAAAGACAAAAGGTAGATAGGAAATTTAAAAATGTCTTTTATCTATTTATTTTTTTACTTACAACGCCCTTGTCACCGACTCTGCCCAATGGTATACGGTATAAACCAATTGCTGTAACAGAAAAATAAACACAATGAAAATTAGCACTGCAATCATCACTATAGGAGGTATACTAAGTGAAAAGACTTAAAGATGATACAAGTAATGTATCAGGTCACTAGAATATAATGATCATGTAATTTAGAATTAGATCTGTTAACGAACAAATGTATTAAGCTCAGGGTTTTTCCAGCAATATCTCATATACAGGTAAGTCAATGACTACTTAACAGAACTTACATTCCCGGTGGAGCATGACGATCATGTGACATTCCTTATCGGATATCTGGCTGCTGTACAGGAACTGGACTTTGAGGAAGTAGGATCGCTCCAAATTGAGGGAAAAGACACGAGTGATAGCTACCTGGATCTCTGCGATGAATGCTGTATACACATCTAAATAATAGAAACCATAGTGTAACCCAAAACAAAGTTATACAGCATTATCACACACACTCTTCCGTGTTTAAATGGGTTATTGTGTAAATCTGTAGAATCTTTAATACATGCTATTCATGAAAATTCCAACATCTTTCATTTCAGAGAGAATCTGCCAGCAGAATTAAACAAGAGATCCCAGAGAGATCTTGGCGTCCACCATTTGAGGATCTGTTTTCAGTTCTTGAAGATTTGTTTATTTTTTTTTGTTTGTTACAGGTGTTGTAAATGTTCATGAACTGGTCTTCATTGAATGTACTTAATGATGGCACAAGATATTTTTATTAAGCATCTATTAGCAAATATCATTTGAAAAAGATCCCAAAGTATTATTAGATAGCAGTCAGTTACAGGTGGATAATGGACAATATGCTTATGCTGTATTACTGTCGACATCCAAGATGGCTGCCTGTGGGCCACCTTGATTTCAAATCAGTACAAAAAAGGTACAATGCACAACTAGGGACCAAGGGAAACCAATATCTATGAAATATCAGAAGGATCCATCCAGTACTTCCTCAGATATAGCAGTAACAAGATTTTACTCTCAAAATCCAAGATGGCTGCCTGTCAGCCATCTTGATTTCGGATCAGTCCAAAAAGGTATAATGCACAACTTGGAACCAAAGGGAACCTGCATATGAAATTTGAGAAAGATCCATCCAGTACTTTCCAAGAAATAGCAGCAACAAACTTTTACATTCAAAATCCAAGATGGCCACCTGTCTGCCATCTTGATTTCGAATCAGTCCAAAAAAGGTACAATGCACAACTAGGGACCAAGGGGAAACTGCATATGGAATTTGAGAAAGATCTATCCAGTACTTTCCAAGAAATAGCAGTAACAAACTTTTACATCCAAAATCCAAGATGGCCACCTGTCGGCCATCTTGAATTCGAATCAGTCCAAAAAAGGTACAATGCACAACTAGGGACCAAGGGGAAACTGCATATGGAATTTGAGGAAGATCCATCCAGTACTTTCTCAGAAATAGCAATAACAAACTTTTACTTCCAAAATCCAAGATGGCCACCTGTCGGCCATCTTGAATTCGAATCAGTCCAATAAAGGTACAATGCACAACTAGGGACCAAGGGAAAACTGCATAAGAAATTTGAGAAAGATCCATTAAGTACTTTTCCAGAAATAGCGGTAGCAAACTTTAACTTCCAAAATCCAAGATGGCCACCTGTCGGCCATCTTGAATGCGAATCAGTTCAAAAAAGGTACAATGCACAACTAGGGACCAAGGGGAACCTGCATATGAAATTTGAGAAAGATCCATCCAGTACTTTTCCAGAAATAGCGGTAACAAGAATTGTTTACGGACGGACGGACGAAGGACCACAGACGCAGGATGATTTGAATAAACCACCATCTATTAGATGGTGGGCTAAAAATAAAATCCTCCTGATCTTACTAAAAAATAATTTGAAATGTAACTTATTATCTCACCTTTTTTCTTTGCAGAACTGGAGTCTTTTCGAAAAGTCGTGAAAGCTGAGAAGAATGAGATATGACATAAAAATATGAAAATAATAATCGATCTCAAGGCCTTCACGATTTACACAGGAACAACCTTACATGTCATTGTCTCTAATCATTAAATTAACTGAAAAAAAAATCTATCATTCAAGTACATTTCAAATTGTTAAACTAGAGAGCTAAAATTGTCAATCTAGAGAGATAAAATTGCAAAATTTACAACTTCAGATTAATTACTCATTACTTTCCTTAAAATATTAAAAGTATATAGTATGCCTGTCTGTTTGGAAAAGGTTTTGTTACACAAAATGTGGTATTTCCTGATCTGTGTTATTTGCAGCGGAACCAGTAGTGACAAAAAACAAAGCAAAACTTATTGTGAAGTGTCACAGCTAATTTTGATATTTGCAATGATTTTCTCACAGCTATACATATCATTGTCCAGAAGATTCTGCAAAATGAAATAACTAAAATATTTCATGACCTCACATTTATGAGAACTAAATCTCTTATTAATGAGAAGTGTCTGTAAATTCTTACCCAAAAGCGACCTTGCCTGGTTGATGGAACAGGAGACAATGTTGACACGCTGGGAATAAGTCCATATCAACTGCAACATGCATTTCAGAATATAAGTTTTAATAGAATAAGATCACCAGGCATCCAAGTCATTATAAGAAAAGACTTTTTATAAAAAATATCAATACTTCAAACTTAGTACTACATGTATATACATAAGCAATCACAGGTAACAATGCACTGTAAAATCATACATTTTTGTAGGGCTCAATTTTTCGTGGTTTTCAAAAAAATATATATATTTTCATTGGCACTAATTTCTTGGTTATATCTTGCCAATCAAATCTGCTAGTGCTAAGATCCATAATGGTTCAATATACTGTATAACATTTGTTATTCAGAAACATTTTTTGTTTTCATAACTATAGACAAACTCTGTAAATACCAGTAAAATGTGACAAATAAGACTTTCAATCAAAGAATCATGTGTATGGGTGTGGGATTTCCAAGAAAACTAGTGCTTAAACGGCAAAAGAAATTACCCACTATTCAAACATTTCAAGTCATACAGTGGCAACTCAAACATTGTATATAAAGAGATAAGCCTATCTAGCCATTTTTCATATTCAGCCATCTCTAAATAACATACATTAACTTTTCATCATCTCACCTGATGTTTCTGTACGGCCGGATCATACAACCCCACATGGGTAACTATGCTTCCCTGTTAATATATAAAATACATCACCATTAAATTGAAAAAGTAAAACCCCATTTCAGAAAGTATCAAAATTATTAATTGGTACATTTTTAATTTTAATTAAATCAGCTTTCAATATCATATACCAGTAAGCAATATTTATGAAACACTATTCAAGGATTTGAGCCATGATAATTTTTCATTAGATTTCAACTATTTTTGAAGTTGATCTCTCTGATAATGATGGTGAAAGCTGTAATGATGGTGAAAGCTAAATTCAAATGGGTTTTAATCATCTAGCAATCAAGGAAGAAATGAACCTGGTACACAAGTCCTAAAATTTGAATTATCTTGGTTCAAGACCAAATTTGGTCAATGTCTTCTTGATGACTTGGGAGTACTTTTTCACTTATAATTCCTCTGTTCAGTTGGGCAATTTTTTTTTAATTCTTGGATACTTATATGTCTATGTTTGAAGACTGAAGCAATTTTGAATTTCTTCATGAAATAGGAGCCATCAAATTCTGAAAACATTGTACGTTCTGTTGGAAAATGGATGGACAAAATTCCATAACATCTTTATTAGTGATATTGGACTTTCTTAAATAAAGAATACCGACAAATTATAGTCCAAGTACAGTATAGTAAATAAATACTTGACATATACATCTGTAATAATTACAAAGATATAGATCTTTAATAAAAGAGATAATATTCCCAAACCTTGCTGTGTTCTGTTGCATCATCCCATGTAAACAGAATTACTCCATTTTTTTCCTGGTTCAAAAGTCGAGGTGTCTCTGAAATAAAAAAAACCTAATTATTTCTATTTGTTTACAGTCTACACAAGGATCAGGTTCATATAAGGATATGTGTATCATAAAATATATGACTATCATATATCAGGTTGTCATATGCCGTGTTAAAACATGCTATTATATTAAAGATAAAACATCACTCACTTGCAAGTGTCATTTTCAGATTATGCATCACAGAGCAGGCTCACTGGGGCCCAGTTTTGGGATTTTGAATAATGTATGATATCAATTAATAACCACAACACTATAAATCCAGTATTCAGGCCTTGAATTTAAGACTTTTTACTGGCTATTTGCAAGTAGAAATCCAAGAATTGCAAGTAGAAAAAATAATGACTTGCTTTTTCAGCAAGTGGATTCATCACATGCAAACTGTGAGTACCTGTCTATTCCTAACCCAGAATTAAATTGTTTTGAGTTTTGATTTCCAAAGTGAAAGTATTGAAGTATTGGTAAAAAGCAGTTCTTCTATAATGTTGACATGTATTGGATGAAGCAAACATTATGAATCACAAAACAAAACACATTATTTGAACATGGAAATTTGCGATAATAGCAAGTAAAAAGTAATTTTAGCAAGTACAAATTTATGGCACTTGCTATTTTCAGCAATTCGAGGCCTGGTATTCAAAAACAACCTGAAACTACAAATGATTGGGGCATCAATGTTTCTTTTATATATCTTTTATATAAAAGTGTGCATATACCAGGTTCTGTGCGACCACAGGCACTTAGTTCGCTGACAAAGAAAACTACATTTTTCCATTAAAGCGCTTTTGGTCCAACCTGATATTAACTGCATATCTACCGTTATCCAGTCAAGTTGTGATCTATGCATTTTTATACCAGTTGTATCTGTTTGCGGCAGCTTATTTTGACGCCGCCAGCTAGAAATGAATTTCGCAGCCTCCTGAGTCAGGCTGCATACTTTCTTTAGCTCAATCATTGATGAAGTAAACTGTTTTTCCGTGTTCCATTCCTCATTCTAAAGTTCATTCCTGTCAGAGATACATACCGGAAGTAAACAAAACTACGTAATTATTTAATCTTGTTTCCCGCGAAATAAACTCATCATACAGTCGGTAGAAAGTTTGACGCAAATCGTCACTCATAATAAAGCGTTTACTTGAGCCAGAATTACCCACACGTGTGTTTACAGTATACAGAGATGTCGTTTTCGTAAGTATGTTTTATGAGTCGTAAATTTATTTGAAACTCTTCCACACATATTGTGAATATTGAAACGTACAGACGGCTAAGTCTCCTCAGAGACTCAAAACACGCTGTATATATATATATATATATATGATCGGGTCCGGACCGTTTTATATTTCGGAACGAGCATTCTCTCGAGTCTTATCACATGACCCTGCGTGACCTCACACTCGATGATTTTGGTAGCTGTAACCTATAACGCTTCCAGAAAGAATAAAAAACCTGTGATTTAAACAATTCATACAAAAATGTATTTCATTGGTAAATTTGTGTATTTTTTCTTAATACACATTTTTACATGTAAAACATCCTCTCAGACATGACGAAATAACCTGTCAAACAATCCTCGAATGTCAATGTTTTGTTGTCGTCAGACATGTAAATTAAAATCGACCATGAATAATGGGCCACTTCTTTCGCAATCTTTTTGTCTACAGAAGTCTATACATTCATGCCTTATATTGAAAAATAAGGATTTTCAAAATGATCATGTTTGATGACTTATTTCTAATTTTGTTTAACTACCAAGTTTTAGTTTCCGTCATAAAAATGAAATTGATCATATGTTTGATACACATCCCGATCACTTCAGAGGAGAACATTTGAGGCTGTATCTGTGGACAGTTTTTAGAAAAATACTGGTCCTTGACTGGTCATGTTTTAGATAGATCTTATAGTATGAACACATTTCAAATCATTTATGTATTTGTTTGGCGACAGTTCATTGACATAGCCCAAGGATATGTCTCAGGTCACAGGCTCTGTGATTCTGGTAAGGGGGGCTTACACATGGCCGAGACTATTGCTTACAGGTAATGTCGATGTTTACATGCATGACATATTAACACTAACAAAATATGTATCAAATGACGTGTGTGAGTGGATTTCAACTGATGTCAATGGCTTATTCCCCTTTGACCAGCAAATAAACCTTCATTGTTTTCCCAAATGGTTGGCTATTCAACTTGCACAAAATGCATTATCTGTTCGTCCGTACACATCCGTAAACAACCATTGCTATTGTTATTTCTTAGATGTACCTGATGGATCTTTCTCAGTCTTTTTTTATGAAGTTTCCCTTGGTCCATAGTTATGAAAAATAGAATTGTTGGCAAGTGGCCATCTTGGATTTTGGTGAGGAAAATTTTATCTCTCTTTCATGAGAAATACTGGATTGATCTGTCTCAAATTTTATGTGAAGGTTCATCATGGTCCCTTGTTGTGCCTGTTTAATTTTGGTACTGGTCAGTAAAACCAAGTGACTGACAAACGACTGTCTTAGATTTGACAATTACAGATTATTATTGCTATAGTTTAAGGGGAATTTCTAAATTTTATATAATAGAAAGCAAGGGTGGACAATTGGAAAGAAGAGACAAGAAGGGGAAAGATCCAACATAGACCAAAGACCAAACAATGATTGGTACACTGAAAGTTTATCACTATTTGATCATTCTAAATAATTTTTTAATGGAGGTTCCTCTTGGTTCCTGGTTTTGCCTCTTGATTTTGGGACTGATAAGAAAAACAAAATAGTTGACATGTGACCATATTGGCTTTATCAGTTAAATAATCTTTGCTATTCCTTGAGAGGAATGTTGAATTTCATATGATTAAGAGAAAAAAAAAAGTGTAAAGATCACTCTGAGATTTCTTGTTTAAGAAAGGTCCTGTAGCTGAAAGTTGTTTTTATTACCTGGTATTTATATTGTTCACCATTTAATCAAATTTACTCATCTACAAGGAACTTGATTGATCCCAGAATCCTTGGTTATCTGAATGTGTGGAATGGTCAATTGTTCTATCCTATATATAGAAGTCCAACTAAATGCTGGGTTTGGACGACTTGCACTTTAGGAAATTACATAGTTTGCAAACCTACTGCACTTCTGAATGATTCCCCCAGAAATAACATCTTCAACATAATAATGTGTTCTTTTATGTCAGTTTAAAATGCATGTTTTATTTTCCAGATCAGCTGATCATTAAAGACAGCAAGAATGACCACATATAAACGTATTGTTACTAAAGGACCTCTTCCTTACTGTTACCTGAAAATTAGATTGTAAGTCAACTATCTTTATTGGTAGGCAGTCACTAAACACAGTTGTCTTCACAATAACTGAAGATTTTAACAAGAAATATTTCTTTCAACTTTTTTAAAACTGATTTTTCTTTTCTTTTGTTATTTTAACTCATTGCCTGTTTTACAATTTAACTTTAAAGTGCTCTTCATGATAACCTGGAACCTTTTTAACTATCATAAATTCTTTATGTTTTACAGAGAGTTTGAAGATCCTTCTGTAACCAAGTCTCTGACGGTAAATGCCACCACACTGAAGCATGCTATCGTCACCTCAATGAAGGGACTGTTCGGAGAGGTAAGCTGTATTATGTTGATATTGTTGCAATAAGTAAAGTTAAAATCTAGACTTGGGCTGTGTTTTGTACTTAACACTAAACTGGAATTTATCTCCCATCTCTTCTGAACTTCATGTGTAAAATGCATTTCCCGTTCAGAAAACTATTGAGGTCAAAGTAATCTTTCTAATCTTAAACCTACTTCATTTGTAGAATTTAAGTTCAGAACATCTGCATGTCTGAGTTCTAACCTCAATTTCTCAATTTATGGGAAAAATTCAGTAGCTTCCTTCCAATATGCTGTCTATGTGATGGTCTTAAGTAACCTCAATAGTGAAGAACATTAGATATTTTGTTTTCTGATATGTTGAAAGACAAATGAGACCAATATTTTGTGATGTAATTTAAGCTTGGAAGCAGTGAGAGCATAGACATCCTTAAGTTTGATGAAGAAAACTATGAGGCCATTATCCGAACAAGACACAGGTGAGAATGACATAGATAAATTTCCATAGCCGGATCAGTAAAAATCTAAACAGCTTCACCAGTAGGTGTACACAAGCAGTTTCTTTGTGGACAAATATGTACTGACAAAGTGATTCTAGAATTGAAACAAGTCTTTTGTTTAATTAGCTATTTAGGATTATCTTATCATTTTTGTTTCGTTTTAAATTGGTTGGATGCATGGCTGCATAAAAATCTAAAATCAATTAAACATGATAAAAGGACCTGAGGACATTTACTCAGCCAGGATTAACAAAAAAGTAGACAGCACAGGAGAAAATATTCATTTACTTAACAACTTGTTAACACTTGGAATTTCCTACTTAAAAATATGATTCAAGCGCCAAACCTAGCAATGTTTGAAACCAGCCTGGATAAATTTTGGGAAAGAGATGATATGATTGGAGATTCAAAACAGCACTAGTGTAACACCACAACATGAACACTATCAATATTGTGACTTAAATGCATATGTATGGACTAAGATCTGAATATAGAGGCAGTTATGCCTGCGTTCAGAAAAAACTAAGTTAAACTAATTTTAGCAGCTATAATTTTAACAGCCACCATTACCTACAGATACAAGGTACCAACATTGGAACTGTTTGCACTCTGAATTATGCCATTGTGTTTATGAATCGTTTGGAAACGTCCTTCGTGCAGGTGCAACTTTTGTCAAGTGGCTGTCAACCAACCTACCACAAAGCCAGGTTGCCACCCATGCAGTAAATCATGCTCATTCTGCCCACATGTTTTGAATACACAAATTTTCGCTAGTGATACTTCCCAGGGATCTTTCAAAATATATCAGAGTCTCAATTGTGAGACCAACACTGCCATTTACTTACTTCAGAAATGTAAAATATACAATATGTGGGACAAACTTCCTCCTTTGTCCTTCAGAGAATGCATGGTCATTTCACCGACACATGTAGCGCCAATCAATACAAACCTGTGTCCCGCCATTTTATGTCAAACAACCAAAACTTTGATGACATTGAAGTCAATATTATCACCACTACAACAGCTAGTATCAACTCCTCCCCTCAGAATGGAAGAAACGTGGATAAAAACACTTAAAACGCTAGAACCATCAGGCCTCAATGGGATTGACTAAAATGAAAGTAACTGCACAGAAGATGCAGACACCTACCTGTGATAAAACCAGTTTACACTGTCTGCTTACCCTATGTCTGAGGACAATTTATCTGTGTTACGGCAACACATTAATCACAAACATTCGTCTTAGGCTATGTGGTATTATTGTAATTTTGCTTTAAGTTATTCTCAATCTGACGTTGCCACGAACCATGTACATAAATTTCACCCAGATACCAACCTAAAAGTAAGCACATCCAATTCCTGAGGCTGGTATGATCAACCAAATGAAAAAAAGCCACATTTTGTATAGTACAAGAGGTAGGAAATTCCTATCGGCATTCTAGAAGAAGACTTAGCTTTGAATGCCACTGACTCAGAATCTGATGCCAATGAACTGTTGTCTCACAATTATGAAAAGTATGTACAGAAATATTCTACATGTATATGGACTTAACCTTTTGTTTAGATGGACCACCTTCTTACCTGAGAAATAGAACAGTGTCTCTGTACAGTGTATTTGGAATATTTGACTCTGTTTAAAAATAAAAAAACAACATTTTTATATATCATTTCATTTAATAAACCTTATCGCTAACTTATTGACCGTCATCTAGCAAAAAATTCCAACCAGTTGTACATTAGGTGATTAGAATCATCAGTATTTTGAATCCTGTTTTGCACTTTAGCTTTCCTTGTTCTCTTGTAATACTGTTCTGATGATGATTGGCCTAGCCATTGAAAACATGTCAACTAATAAAATCTTCAAAGTCACATTGATGCTCCATCTTTTATCTTCAAAGTAAAAATATGTTGACACAAGGTTGCACTACTTAAATACTTTATTCCTAACTGATACCTGGGTGATACTTTGTAAACTCAAATTGTCAATCTGTTACTCACAAATGAGAGTAATTTATTCCTTACTCGAATGCCAGTAAAGATCATGTAGTTAATCTGGAATTTGAAATTTTTTGTTTGTTTATATCTATCCCTAATCATCAAAGGTATATTGGTGTGCTGATGATTAATTTTTTGTTGCAGTTTCTTTGTAAAGGTATGGAGTTCCCTTTGTCTATGCGGATCGTTTGGTGGCTACACTTGTGCCTTTAGAGTGAATCAGGTAAGTACTGTATATCAATGACTGGATCCTCTATATTACCTGGTAATTTTATCATCACAGACAATTTATTTCCTGTCTAGTTGATACTGATTGTTTGGGGTGTTTTATAGTAATTAGGTGTACATTTAATGCATTGAATTGATAGAGCCAAGTAAAAACAGAGAGGCAATCTACACCAAAAAAGAAAATCATGCTGGACCTTAATATAGGTCTTAAAGCACCTAATCCCCACATGTATATAAGTGTGCCTGTTTGTGTAGTGGATATGTAACAGTATTCATCATTTTTATATAGTAAATGTGCCTTAATGTTGCATTACCAGGTGTCTGCTCATTTGATGGGTCTTGCTTGTAACAGTCGGGAGGACTTTGTGACTTGACCTTGGACTACAAAAACTATGTTTTTTGAGATTTGATTGGATTATCTCCCTTATGGTGATGAGGCATACTGAACAGTGCCATTGTACACTGGAACAATGACTTTAGGGTAATCCTTTGAAGTGTTTGTGAACCCATTTGTAATTTGGAAAAGCAGTTTCAGACACTGTGCTAAATGCATCATCCATGAACATTATATACTGGATATAGCCCAGATGTTCAGATACGGTTTATATGTGTTTAACTGTGATATTAATATGAGTTATTAGTGGACATCTGACCGGGCAAATTAACCTGCATGTGGAATATGCAGGAGGACTTATCACTGTCCTTTACAATTGACCAATAAAGGATTACAACAATATCTTAAAGAAATTCTGTGTATTTGTTCTTTTAATCTCATGGAAGATTTTTATCTTTTGTAAGTTTCTGGTGTGTATATGTTGCTAATTGATAATAATGTTTCCAAAGCATAATGACAGCTTATCTTACATATACCTTACAATACTAATTAATAAAATACAATTGCAATAGCGTTTCAACTAGATTACCAGGGTGTGATTCCTCGAAAGGACATGAAAAGGTATAGCAATTCCTTGAAAGGACATGAAAAGGTATAGCAATTCCTCAAAAGGACATGAAAAGGTATAGCAATTCCTCAAAAGGACATGAAAAGGTATAGCAACTCCTTGAAAGGACATGAAAAGGTGTAGCAATTCCTTGAAAGGACATGAAAAGGTATAGCAATTCCTCAAAAGGACATGAAAAGGTGTAGCAATTCCTTGAAAGGACATGAAAAGGTGTAGCAATTCCTCGAAAGGACATGAAAAGGTATAGCAATTCCTTGAAAGGACATGAAAAGGTGTAGCAATTCCTCGAAAGGACATGAAAAGGTGTAGCAATTCCTCGAAAGGACATGAAAAGGTATAGCAATTCCTCATAAGGACATGAAAAGGTATAGCAATTCCTTGAAAGGACATGAAAAGGTATAGCAATTCCTTGAAAGGACACGAAAAGGTATGACACTCAGCTGCCTGACCACATTAGTTTCCTCTGGGCACTCTGGTTTCCTCCCACACTAAGACCACAATTACAGCCTTTTTCGGCATTTCAGCACACATGTATAGCTTTCTAAGATAATAAAAATGAAACAAGGATGTTTGAATAGATGAAACAGGAAGGAAAGTCTATGGAAATTACTAATGATGCTTAAAACAAATATCAAATCAATTAAGACTACCAAATCACACCCAAGTAGTTAACACATGTTAGAAAAAGATAAATATTTATTTCTGTAATATATGATGTAGGTCATTAAAATGGATTGTTTTAAGTCTTATAGAAAACATGTCTGTAACTGCTTTACATTTGAAATATGAACAAGTTTATGACTTCTGTTGTGTAACTGTATCAATTTGCATGCATTTCAACCCTCCCTATTTTTGTGGAAACCTCGCTGGCTTTCTCTCCAAACTATTACACCCTAATTTTGTATATCTGGCAACATTTGTACTGTAGCTGTGCTGACATTAATATTTTTGATATCAGGGTGATATGTTCCTAGGATGAAGCCTGACAAACTTTGCAAAAAAAAAATCACCTTGACTGATATTCAAGGTCACAGGTCAAATTTGTGAAAACAATTATATTGCTTTTTCTCATTAACTGAAAGGCTTAAATGCATGATATTTGGCTCTTACGTTCCTCGGGTGAAGCGCGACCAAGTGCTATGATATGATGTGTATGTCTGTAATTATGATTGAAATAAAGTTTATATTAATATTTTGATTCAATTGAACAATTTCATATTTTATAATTGTATGATAATCATAAGTCCATGTAAATCATAAATGTGCATGGTTTCTGGTCATTATTTACTTAATTTGTTCAGTAAATAGAAGTTTCATGAGCTGACCTTTGGGTGGACTTTAATGCTGACCGCTGTTATCACTATAAATTGTGCGGCCACATACTCATAAGACACTTGACAGTTAAAGTCTTCAATAAAAGCCTAATAAATATTTACGACACGGTCACCTACACAATATCTGTTTATTCTAATTTTAAAACCGTCATACAGACTTCTGTTAATAACTGTTAAACTGGAGCTGTGTCCACCTTAATATTTCATCAACTTTGACCTCAATCTTTGCTAGCTTTTAACCATTCTATTCATAAATCCTCTCACCTAAATCTCCATCAACCTTGATATTCTACAGATCATGTATCTGTATCGTCATCAAACATTACCTTACCTCCATACTGGAGTTGACCTTTCTCAACAGATTATATATATCTGATTTGCTACCACCTTAAACTCGTGCATCACCTGGGTATTCCTATAACCTGAAGCTGCAATTGTACCAGCACTCTTATTAGTTAATGATTTAAATTGATGTTGCAGATGCATTTTATGTCTGGATCAATATTAGATTTAGAATTTTTTTAATATCCCTATTGAGGTAACTGTAAATGCTACAGGGATGAAAAGTACATCCTGAGTTCTGCTTTCTTTAAATATTTTTAATGACTCATTATTTTGATACATTCTGCTATGATAATAAATGTGTTGTCTGGTCCGAGGGAAGGTTTTTGGGAAAAACAATACACTGACATGACTTTTAAACAGAAGCACATGTTTATTTCAGCATGGTGGTAACTTACAGACACATGTATATGTACAGTACACTTAATACAGTTGTACATAATGCTGTGCACAGCCAAACTAATGAATCAGGCCTACTGTGATGTTTATATAAAGTCTCTAGAAACATCACAACCTTGGCATGGAACAGGCATATTCGATCCTCAGATAGACATGTACATACTTAAAAGATTATTACCACTTGTATCTCTATAAAGAAGTGCTGTTGAACTTATGATGAATAGAATGTCATATCTTTTTTGTTCAATTTTTTGCCAGCTTAATTCCTGTTCTGCTTATTATATTGTTTGAAGCCACAATTAAATGTAAATACTATGTATTCTGTAATGTGGAAGTGCTCACCTACACATTAGCATTTGAAGTTGACCTAAATTTGTTTTAGGACTTAGATTGTTCTGTTTTAGGAGAAGAGAACTCCTTGTTCCAGTTGGTGTTGATAGATAAATATTACATCATTTTTCATTCTCATTGTCATGTAGGTTGTTTTAAGATATTCACTTGAAAACAAAAACATACTGCTGCTCACAATCATTTACAGGGATTTACATTCACATTTCTTCCTTCGTTCAGGATAGTCGCCGTTTCCAAACATTTAATGAGTCTTGGTAAAGGAAATAATCTTCCAAGTCAAAGGTTTTAGGTTGCACACCACAAATTTCTTAGTATTGCGACGATTTCAGCAAATATGATATATATCCTGATACATAATATTGATGGTATCAATAGTATCATGACAGCTGTAGTGAGATAACCATTACAAGAGCATGGGCAATAAATGACGCTACATGGATCCCCTGACAGATCCTGACACAAAGTGTATATAGCATCAAGTGTACAGAACATGATAACACCAACCCAGAGGTTAAGGCTGGTTAACATCAGGGACTTCAACAAAATTTAGATGGACATCAAAATATATGATAGACATATCTGGAGTCATACAGATTGGTATTCCCAATTTATTTCTCCCTGTCCATGAAAAGTCCTTTTGCTGTGTCTTTTAAATGAGAGCTAGACTAAGTTTAACATCAAGTCCAGAGGACATCTTCAATGTTGAAGTTTAATAACGGGTCTCATCTCTGTATCCCACACTCTTCCACCACTTCCTACTATTTCCTCCCTATTCATTTTCAGCAGAAAGGCTGAGAGTTGGTAATAGTTGATGTAAAACATGTAAGAAATAAAGTGAGAGAACAATTTGACATATTTTCAAAATTGGTCTGGTCCCCAAGAGCAGGGCCAAAAAGAAAAGTCAAAGGACTAGGTATAAAATCTAAATTGTAAGCAGTAATAATAATACAGAGATTCAATCATCTGACCTTTCAAGCCCTTTGGGCCTCTTGTCCTTGTCTTTGTTAATAAAGATACTTGTCATTCAACAGATTTTATTATTCAACTATGAAAATACTGTGAAATGGTGAAACTTATTAAAACCTATAGTATTGTCATATGATAATTTGACATTTTCATGGCATGTTGACCAAAGTATATACAAGTCTTTACAGGGGGGTTTGGATTAGTTATCCTCAGGAAGACAGGGGGGGACTAGTTATCCTCAGGAAGACAGGGAGGATTAGTTATCCTCAGGAAGACAGGGGGGATTAGTTATCCTCGGGAAGACAGGGGGGGATAAGTTATCCTCAGGAAGACAAGGGGGATTAGTTATCCTCAGGAAGATGGGGGGGATTAGTTATCCTCAGGAAGACACGTGGGGATTAGTTATCCTCGGGAAGACAGGAGGGGGATAAGTTATCCTCAGGAAGACAGGGGCAATTAGTTATCCTCAGGAAGACAGGGGGGATTAGTTATGCTCAGGAAGACAGGGGGGATTAGTTATCCTCAGGAAGACAGGGGGAATTAGTTATGCTCAGGAAGACACGGGGGGATTAGTTATCCTCAGGAAGACAGGGGGGATTAGTTATCCTCGGGAAGACAGGGGGGATTAGTTATCCTCGGGAAGACAGGGGGGATTAGTTATGCTCAGGAAGACAGGGGGGATTAGTTATGCTCAGGAAGACAGGGGGAATTAGTTATGCTCAGGAAGATGGGGGGATTAGTTATCCTCAGAAAGATGGGGGGATTAGTTATCCTCAGGAAGATGGGGGGATTAGTTATCCTCAGGAAGACAGGGGCAATTAGTTATCCTCAGGAAGACAGGGGGGATTAGTTATGCTCAGGAAGACAGGGGGGATTAGTTATGCTCAGGAAGACAGGGGGGATTAGTTATGCTCAGGAAGACAGGGGGAATTAGTTATGCTCAGGAAGATGGGGGGATTAGTTATCCTCGGGAAGACAGGGGGGATTAGTTATCCTCAGGAAGACAGGGGGGATTAGTTATGCTCAGGAAGACAGGGGGGATTAGTTATGCTCAGGAAGACAGGGGGAATTAGTTATGCTCAGGAAGATGGGGGGATTAGTTATCCTCAGGAAGATAGGGGGATTAGTTATCCTCAGGAAGATGGGGGGGATTAGTTATCCTCAGGAAGACAGGGGCAATTAGTTATCCTCAGGAAGACAGGGGCAATTAGTTATCCTCAGGAAGACAGGGGGGATTAGTTATGCTCAGGAAGACAGGGGGGATTAGTTATGCTCAGGAAGACAGGGGGAATTAGTTATGCTCAGGAAGATGGGGGGATTAGTTATCCTCAGGAAGACAGGGGGGATTAGTTATCCTCAGGAAGACAGGGGGGATTAGTTATCCTCGGGAAGACAGGGGGGATTAGTTATGCTCAGGAAGACAGGGGGGATTAGTTATGCTCAGGAAGACAGGGGGAATTAGTTATGCTCAGGAAGATGGGGGGATTAGTTATCCTCAGGAAGATGGGGGGATTAGTTATCCTCAGGAAGACAGGGGCAATTAGTTATGCTCAGGAAGACAGGGGGGATTAGTTATGCTCAGGAAGACAGGGGGGATTAGTTATGCTCAGGAAGACAGGGGGAATTAGTTATGCTCAGGAAGATGGGGGGATTAGTTATCCTCAGGAAGATGGGGGGATTAGTTATCCTCAGGAAGATGGGGGGATTAGTTATCCTCAGGAAGACAGGGGGAATTAGTTATGCTCAGGAAGACACGGGGGGGATTAGTTATCCTCGGGAAGACAGTTTGTTTCATTCTGGTCCCCCACTTGGAATATCTAAGAAGAAAGTCTGGATCTGTCGCTAAAATACACAAATACATCATCTGTGTAGTGATCCTTTTTTTCATATAATTTCACATTGGTGGGGGACTGTTATTTGTGAAACTAATGTTTAGTTTTGTTAGTTTTTTTTTTTAATTTTTGTCTTGCCTGCATGGAAAAGTCACAAAAATAATATGTTTCTGACCAACATAGCATGCTATTTTGTAGTTAAGTATATGCAGTTTCAATGACACTTGCTATAATATTATATGATACTATTATCATAAGAGTTGTTGTCAATATTTGGTAGTAGGATTAACCCCCTGAGTGGGCGGTGTACATGTCAGTTCACATGACAATCCACACATTTATATATTTACTTGATGTATCCTCTTAAAGTGTTCACAGTGACTCATGGTCTATACAAACAGTAAACTATGAGGAATGAGTTAATAAAGCTTTCATAAAAAGACAAAAAAATTTTAAAAGTATTTTTTTTTCTCCCTGTAACACAATTGTATCATATACAAGTTTTAGACCTTGATAATCTGTGACAATCATTGGTATATGTTTAAAAAGCTTTGTTAAGATAGTGGGATCAGTTCCTAAATTTTCAGTATCTTCCTATGTATGTTTATATAAATCAAACAATGATTGTCTTCTTTAATTTCAAAAGAGTAGTAGAAGTCAGTTGCAGCAGATGAAAGGCCAGGCCCCACTTGTATAAAACATCTCAACTTGAGATTTCCTCAGCTAATATCTCCTTGAAAATATCTTGTATGAAAATTCCTCAAGGAATTTCAGGACATCCTAGCCGATGCCTTCCTCCTGTTCCTTGAGAAAATTTTATAAATATACATATATACAAGCCGTTTTTGAGGAGATATCAGCTGAGGAAAATCTTGACATCTCAATTCTTACACCTAAGATATACTCCACAGCCAGGGTAATGATATAAATACTGATGATATACTCGAATGTCAGAGTAACAATGTGAATACTGATGTTATACTCGAATGTCAGAGTAACAATGTGAATACTGATGTTATACTCGAAAGTCAGAGTAACAATGTGAATACTGATGTTATACTAGAGAGTCAGAGTAACAATGTGAATACTGATGATATACTCGAAAGTCAGAGTAACAATGTGAATACTGATGTTATACTCGAAAGTCAGAGTAACAATGTGAATACTGATGATATACTAGAGAGTCAGAGTAACAATGTGAATACTGATGTTATACTCGAAAGTCAGAGTAACAATGTGAATACTGATGATATACTAGAGAGTCAGAGTAACAATGTGAATACTGATGTTATACTCGAAAGTCAGAGTAACAATGTGAATACTGATGATATACTAGAGAGTCAGAGTAACAATGTGAATACTGATGATATACTAGAGAGTCAGAGTAACAATGTGAATACTGATGATATACTAGAGAGTCAGAGTAACAATGTGAATACTGATGTTATACTAGAGAGTCAGAGTAACAATGTGAATACTGATGATATACTCGAAAGTCAGAGTAACAATGTGAATACTGATGTTATACTAGAGAGTCAGAGTAGCAATGTGAATACTGACAATATACTCGAAAGTCAGAGTAACAATGTGAATACTGACGATATACTCGAACGTCCGAGTAACAATGTGAATACTGATGTTATACTAGAGAGTCAGAGTAACAATGTGAATACTGATGATATACTCGAAAGTCAGAGTAACCATGTGAATGTATCAATGTGAACAATCCTATTGAAAATCATTGCTTAGTATAGTTATTCCATCAGTGTAGTGACATCAGATAATCAGTACAAGTTTATGTACACATCATGTCTCCACACTGTCCTGTCTATTACCTTATATAGAATATGTTACAGTCATTAAGAGTGTGAAGATATGTACACATCATGTCTCCAAACAATCCTGTCTGTTACCTTATATAGAATATGTTACAGTGATTTGGAGTGTGAAAATATGTACACATCATGTCTCCAAACAGTCCTGTCTGTTACCTTATATAGAATATGTTACAATGATTAGAAGTGTAGAGATATGTACACAGACTGGGGTAGGGATTAGACAGACTCGCCCTAACCAAACCCAGAATGTAACAGATTACATGGTCGATCCATCAGGATTCTCAACATCACCTGTCACGTACCTCCCCATATACGTGTGGGGCTCAAATTCTTTACTTAGTGTTTTGTAACAATGTAAAAGAAAAATTCCTAAATATACCAGGGTATCAAAGGGTTGATAGAGTTGCATGATCCCAAATCTTATTTTCATCATTATGGTATGAAATACTCAGTTAACATTGTACAATACTTTTGCATATCTTCATCACGAACAGGTTAAGTACTGTCATTTCCTGTTTGAGAGCCCAACGATTCATCTCTGTTGATGCAGTCAAGTTCTGTTTATGGTAGTTAGTATTGGAGAGTGTTGTTTTGTATCTTTACAATAATTTTATTGTTACATAGTTAAATTTCTGGTGTCATACGGCATTCAATACTTTTTTATAACAAATTTTGAATGATTTTTATGATTGAATACATCTTCTGACTTGTTGCTATGGCCGTTGTCATAGATACATGTATAAGGAACACAAAAGAGTTCCATTCATATTGAGTAATATTGACATGGATGTTGATTTTTCAAAAGTGCGACCTTGTAGCCTGTATAGAAAGGGAAGCTTTTGTGACATTAGTAGACAGAATAAATCCAACAATCTGAATTCTAGTGTCCTATTATTGAATAATTCCAACAATCTGAATTCTAGTGTCCTACTGAATAAATCCAACAATCTAAATTCTAGTGTCAACCTGAATAAATCCAACAATCTGAATTCTAGTGTCCCACTGAATAAATCCAACAATCTGAATTCTAGTGTCCTACTGAATAAATCCAACAATCTGAATTCTAATGTCCACCTGAATTAATCCAACAATCTGAATTCTAGTGTCCAACTGAATAAATCCAACAATCTGAATTCTAGTGTCCTATTGAATAAAGTCAACAATTTGAATTCTAGTGTCCTACTGAATAAATCCAACAATCTGAATTCTAGTGTCCTACTGAATAAATCCAACAATCTGAATTCTAGTGTCCAACTGAATAAATCCAACAATCTGAATTCTAATGTCCACCTGAATTAATCCAACAATCTGAATTCTAGTGTCCTATTGAATAAAGTCAACAATCTGAATTCTAGTGTCCTATTGAATAAAGTCAACAATCTGAATTCTAGTGTCCTATTGAATAAAGTCAACAATCTGAATTCTAGTGTCCTATTGAATAAAGTCAGCAATCTGAATTCTAGTGTCCTACTGAATAAATCCAACAATCTGAATTCTAGTGTCCACCTGAATTAATCCAACAATCTGAATTCTAGTGTCCGCCTGTAGTTTTTTCAAATATCTGTAGAATGGAAAGCATTATTATCATTAAGAAATTAGAACAAAAAAAGGTTGGTTATAGTACAACTTGATGAAACATCCTGGTATGTCTTGTAAATAAAAGTATTTACATTGTATAGTAATCACTAATTAACAATTTAAGGATCCCCCTGACTTACATTATAATTCTAGTCATGCCTTTTCTGTTTCTATAATGTAAATTAAGTCTAATTGTGCTTCATACATGGCATCAGATGATGTTCCATTATGCATTATAAGCATACATTTAGTATTGTTTTAGTTTGTGTATGTTAGAACCTGTCAAACTCACAGGAATTATTGTAAACCAGTGTGATGAATAGACAGGTTGAAACATACAATTTCAAACTAGGTTAAATGGATCAAGCAATATCATTAAATGCCATGTTTTTAGAACAATCTATTTAGTGTAATGTAATTTCAAACAACAGGGGAAAATGAAGGATGTTGTTTAAGGAAAAGTACCCTTAAAACAAAAACGGAAGTAACATTTAAATCATTCATGAGACAAACTGTCTTTTGTGGAAAATTTGGATTCGTAAAATGGACAAATTAGATGGAATAATGATAGTTGACCACTGAGATGCTGCTGGGATGATGGTTGGTTGCTGTGACATATGGATGCTGGGATGATGGTTGACTGCTGTGACATATGGATGCTGCTGGGATGATGGTTGACTGCTGTGACATATGGATGCTGCTGGGATGATGGTTGATTGCTGTGACATATGGATGCTGCTGGGATGATGGTTGGTTCCTGTGACATATGGATGCTGCTGGGATGATGGTTGATTGCTGTGACATATGGATGCTGCTGGGATGATGGTTGATTGCTGTGACATATGGATGCTGCTGGGATGATGGTTGATTGCTGTGACATATGGATGCAGCTGGGATGATGGTTGATTGCTGTGACATATGGATGCTGCTGGGATGATGGTTGATTGCTGTGACATATGGATGCTGCTGGGATGATGGTTGACTGCTGTGACATATGGATGCTGCTGGGATGATGGTTGACTGCTGTGGCATATGGATGCTGCTGTGATGATGGTTGGTTTCTGTGACATATGGATGCTGGGATGATGGTTGGTTTCTGTGACATATGGATGCTGGGATGATGGTTGGTTTCTGTGACATATGGATGCTGGGATGATGGTTGGTTTCTGTGACATATGGATGCTGGGATGATGGTTGGTTTCTGTGACATATGGATGCTGGGATGATGGTTGGTTTCTGTGACATATGGATGCTGGGATGATGGTTGGTTTCTGTGACATATGGATGCTGGGATGATGGTTGGTTCCTGTGACATATGGATGCTGGGATGATGGTTGGTTCCTGTGACATATGGATGCTGGGATGATGGTTGGTTCCTGTGACATATGGATGCTGGGATGATGGTTGGTTGCTGTGACATATAGATGCTGCTGGGATGGTGGTTGACTGCTGTGACATGTGGATGCTGCTGGGATGATGGTTGGTTGCTGTGACATATGGAAGCTGCTGGGATGATGGTTCACCAGTGTGACATATGGATACTGCTGGGATAATGGTTGATTACTGTGACATATGGAAGCTGCTGGGATGATGGTTGACTGCTGTGATGTATGGTTGCTGCTGGGATGATGGTTGACCAGTGTGATATATGGGTGCAGCTTTGACCCCTATACCTTGTGTTTGCCTTGACACTGGATTGCTGAAGGCTGTAAAAGTACCAGTGTAATAACCAAGACATCTTGACCATTACAGTGTACTTGATGGTCAGTGGGTGTATTGACTTTCAGGATTGAAGAGATGATAAATGTTAATGACCCTGTATATGGTAAGTAGATCCAGACTTTTACAAATCTTTACAGACACAACTTTTCATCAACAGACATTGATCTCGAAACATTGCTGTGCTACTACAGGATTATTGACAGGCCTGTTTCTGTATTCCAGTGTCTTGTTGTAAGTATACTTATCTCTGTTGAGGACATTGATATAATATTGTTATTCTGTTTTTAAAAAAAACTGTATAATTAACAAAGTCATGGGATAATCTTATATTGAAGGGCAACAGAGGGCATCTAGTTACCTTTACTCAGAATCAGGGGTGGGCTTGTTATAGGACCCAAAGGGGTCAACACAATAACTTTCCTCAAAGTCACAGGGATGGGCTAATTACAGGACCCAAAGGAGCCAGCCCATTACCTTTACTCACAATCAGGGATGGGCTTATTATAGGACCCAAAGGGGTCAACACAATAACTTTCCTCAAAGTTACAGGGATGGGCTTATTACAGGACCCAAAGGAGCCAGCCCATTACCTTTACTCACAATCAGGGATGGGCTTATTATAGGACCCAAAGGGGTCAACACAATAACTTTCCTCAAAGTTACAGGGATGGGCTTATTACAGGACCCAAAGGAGCCAGCCCATTACCTTTACTCAGAATCAGGGTATTGCAGAATCTTAAAGAATTCTATAGAGCTGGTTAAATTGATTATCAGTTATCATAAATTTAAGAGAAGTTGATAAAATTTTACAATTGGATTTTAGTAGATCATGTGTTTGAAATATCATAGCTCTTTATAAGTCTGTATAAAATAGAAGTAGTGTTGGTTCCAAGATGTTTTAATTGCAGGTATGAAATCAAATGTATTGACAATATTTATCATAAGTTTTGTGATTGTTTATACAAATGACACTGTGTAGAATTTTCAGGTCTGTTCACAGCCATTGAATAACTTCTCTCTATACAGATGTAAGTAGATATATTGAAATTGCAGAATGTATCAGTCTATGGAGGACTGACAGGTAAGTAATTGGTTACAGCATGTCAGTTACCATGGTAATAATATTGTCTTTATACACCATAGCCACTCAGATCAGGTAACAGTGCCTGCACAGCTGGTGGATGATTGGAAACTGAGTTAATCCATGTAATTTGTTGAAATTCATGTTTGATATAATATGTACACTAAGTTTGTGAGTATATATAGCTAATTTATCACCATTATTTGCATGTAGGGTTGAGAACAGGTGTGGCCGCACATGGTCAGGTAAATACTGGCCATCCTTAGTCACAGTGCTTGGCTGCAGCAGCTCTGACAAAGGTAGGCACTTCTTTGTTTTTTAAGATTCATATTTTTCAATTCTTTTGATATAAATTTTTATATCTAGAGCATGATGTATCTATTTTCAAGCTTTAGGGAAATATATGTAGTGTTTGATTATTTTGATTCATATTTTTTATTGTAGTTTTAACTGATATATTCTAGCAACCAAGTAATTCTATTTTTAGTGCTATATATACATCAGTTATGCCAGACTTTGTAATTATAGAAGTACTTTACGTATATGTCACTAATTACTACGTAGATTAATCAAGTGTAGTTTTGATATTTTACACATCTGGTGACGTCAAAAGGTGCTAAAGCAGAATTACATGATAACGTTGTAGGTGTCATGTGTTCATTAATTCGTACAGGACAAGAAAAAAAAGTAATGAATGGAGATTGATCAATATTATGTTACATGTGCATAGTAGTGGGTTGTACCAATATAATACTGATAGGATAAGTGTATATCAGCACCAGATGCCCCCAGCCAAAACACTGAAACATCTGGATTTCATATCCGCGTTTCTTTGAAATAATTTCTACAACAGTTTTCATTGTCTGCGTATAAAATCTCTACTGTATATGAACATATTTTAGAATTCTGATATTCTGGTGCTGTTTACACTGAAAGTATTACCCTGAAATAATTATGATATTCTGGTGCTGTTTACACTGAAAGTATTACCCTGAAATAACAATGATATTCTGGTGCTGTTTACACTGAAAGTATTACCCTGAAATAACTATGATATTCTGGTGCTGTTTACACTGAAAGTATTACCCTGAAATAACTATGATATTCTGGTGCTGTTTACACTGAAAGTATTACCCTGAAATAACTATGATATTCTGGTGCTGTTTACACTGAAAGTATTACCCTGAAATAACTATGATATTCTGGTGCTGTTTACACTGAAAGTATTACCCTGAAATAACTATGACATTCTGGTGCTGTTTACACTGAAAGTATTACCCTGAAATAACTATGATATTCTGGTGCTGTTTACACTGAAAGTATTACCCTGAAATAACTATGATATTCTGGTGCTGTTTACACTGAAAGTATTACCCTGAAATAACTATGATATTCTGGTGCTGTTTACACTGAAAGTATTACCCTGAAATAACTATGATATTCTGGTGCTGTTTACACTGAAAGTATTACCCTGAAATAACTATGATATTCTAATGCTGTTTCCACTGAAAGTATTACCCTGAAATAACAATGATATTCTGGTGCTGTTTACACTGAAAGTATTACCCTGAAATAACTATGATATTCTGGTGCTGTTTACACTGAAAGTATTACCCTGAAATAACTATGATATATTCTGGTGCTGTTTACACTGAAAGTATTACCCTGAAATAACTATTATATTCTGGTGCTGTTTACACTGAAAGTATTACCCTGAAATAACTCTGATATTCTGGTGCTGTTTACACTGAAAGTATTACCCTGAAATAATTATGATATTCTGGTGCTGTTTACACTGAAAGTATTACCCTGAAATAACTATGATATTCTGGTGCTGTTTACACTGAAAGTATAACCCTGAAATAATTATGATATTCTGGTGCTGTTTACACTGAAAGTATTACCCTGAAATAACTATGATATTCTGGTGCTGTTTACACTGAAAGTATTACCCTGAAATAACTCTGATATTCTGGTGCTGTTTACACTGAAAGTATTACCCTGAAATAACTATGATATTCTGGTGCTGTTTACACTGAAAGTATTACCCTGAAATAATTCTGATATTCTGGTGCTGTTTACACTGAAAGTATTACCCTGAAATAACTATGATATTCTGGTGCTGTTTACACTGAAAGTATTACCCTGAAATAACTATGATATTCTAATGCTGTTTACACTGAAAGTATTACCCTGAAATAACTCTGATATTCTGGTGCTGTTTACACTGAAAGTATTACCCTGAAATAACTATGATATTCTAATGCTGTTTACACTGAAAGTATTACCCTGAAATAATTCTGATATTCTGGTGCTGTTTACACTGAAAGTATTACCCTGAAATAACTCTGATATTCTGGTGCTGTTTACACTGAAAGTATTACCCTGAAATAACTATGATATTCTGGTGCTGTTTACACTGAAAGTATTACCCTGAAATAATTCTGATATTCTGGTGCTGTTTACACTGAATGTATTACCCTGAAATAACTATGATATTCTGGTGCTGTTTACACTGAAAGTATTACCCTGAAATAACTATGATATTCTGGTGCTGTTTACACTGAAAGTATTACCCTGAAATAACTATGATATTCTGGTGTTGTTTACACTGAAAGTATTACCCTGAAATAATTATGATATTCTGGTGCTGTTTACACTGAAAGTATTACCCTGAAATAACTATGATATTCTGGTGCTGTTTACACTGAAAGTATTACCCTGAAATAACTATGATATTCTGGTGCTGTTTACACTGAAAGTATTACCCTGAAATAACTATGATATTCTGGTGCTGTTTACACTGAAAGTATTACCCTGAAATAACTATGATATTCTGGTGCTGTTTACACTGAAAGTATTACCCTGAAATAACTATGATATTCTGGTGCTGTTTACACTGAAAGTATTACCCTGAAATAACTATGATATTCTGGTGCTGTTTACACTGAAAGTATTACCCTGAAATAACTATGATATTCTGGTGCTGTTTACACTGAAAGTATTACCCTGAAATAACTATGATATTCTGGTGCTGTTTACACTGAAAGTATTACCCTGAAATAACTATGATATTCTGGTGCTGTTTACACTGAAAGTATTACCCTGAAATAACTATGATATTCTGGTGCTGTTTACACTGAAAGTATTACCCTGAAATAACTCTGATATTCTGGTGCTGTTTACACTGAAAGTATTACCCTGAAATAACTATGATATTCTGATGCTGTTTACACTGAAAGTATTACCCTGAAATAACTATGATATTCTGGTGCTGTTTACACTGAAAGTATTACCCTGAAATAACTATGATATTGTTTATTATAGTTTTTACATGTATAGACTGCTTAATATAAACCACTTACTGTGGACTCCTGATTTATCATCAAACTAATTTTTAAAAAATGTGATTTTTCACAAAATTTTATTGTGCCAAATTAAGTACGTTGACAATATTTTTTAAAAGTAGAAAATATAAACACTAGTGTGAGTGGAGATATTGAGGAATTTGTGAAATATTTCATAAATATGACAGAATATCATGTAACAGGTAATTGTCATTTTTAACTAATGAAAATTTCATGCTCTGGTTGTAGAAAGACATCATATACACACATATCTTATTATTTCACAGACTAACAGATTAAATTTTCTACACTACTTAAATGTACCACAAAAATATCACCCTCGCAAAAATAGTTGGCTATACCCTCTTCAGTGTTTTCATGAGTGTGGGTGAACTTGAACCAAATAGCTTGGGTAACCGTCATTACATATGGCTAATGTTTCTAACCTGCTTTACCCTTAATATTCATGTAGGGTGCTGTAGTCGATGTTTCATTTAAAAATACAGATGACTCAGCTGCTGCATCCCAGAGTGTATAAAAATGCATACTCAGAAATATGTGAATGAAGAAGAATACTTCCTGGAGTTAGGTACAAGTAGAGGTTACACAACAAAGGTCACCTTCGTCTAACTTCATGCACTTAAAATCATATGAAGTTTTACCCTTTAAATGGAAGATTTCCTTTTTCGCCTTTAATTCCAATAAATTTTTCTATATTTAGAAGTTTGGTTTTAGAGTTTTGAACATCAGGTCAGCAATCAGTATTATAGGAGTTAATGTAAGACTTAAATTTATAACAGGTATATAGTTTATAATATTACAATGTATATCAGTTAGTGATGAGATTAAACACTTTAGTAAGAGTATTATAATCACACACACCATACACACAACAGTATTATCACAGTCCTGTATTAGTCCCGTGTACATAATACCTTATTAAATCTTTGTAATCTCATAGTAATTTGCTATGGGTAGAATATGCCTCCACCAGAACAGTACTGCCATGCTGCTGACTGGAGACCACAGAATCTATAAACAGCTAGAAGGTGATATGAAGTAACAGTTGTCTGGGGGATTTTTGATTAAGAAATGACTGTGAAATAACTTTTAACTTTTCATGATTTTTTGGATTTAATCTGTATTGCAGACAGGTAGGTACTTCTACAGACATTTCAGCGCCATTTCTTAGTTGCCAAGTACTGTAAACATTTGTGATACTTATTGCGGAAATTGCTTTCAACATAGGAGAAGCACTATGTTATTGGATAATATTGTTTTGGTTCACACTTTAGGACTTTTGGATAGTCCTTATAATATTGAACTGCCAACGACATGTAGGCAATGCTGATGACTGTTTTAGTGTTAAAATGTTTTATAATCATGATATTTGTAAGGGAGCTAACTCTGACAAAATCTGTCATGTTTGATGTCTGAATATAGATTTTATTTGCAGATCTTGTGGCATTGAGATAAAAAATAATAAAAGTCACGCAAAATCTACTTTGGGGTATACAGTGTTTGTTTGAAGTTACGTAGTCTTAGTTAAGAAGACAGCCAAATTAATACAAATATTTGTTTTCAGTAGGCACTTAGAAGTGTTCGAATATTCATCCCATTTTTGTTCCAGTCAAACAAACCAGAATTTGAATGAGTGTATATATACACATATGACCCAAGTTGATTCTAACACATTTAAGTGCCAACAGAAGGCTTATGTGTGAAGATTTGCATATTAACATATTTCACCCTGTAATTTCTTAGTTCTACAACATGTTGAAAAGCAACTTGACCTTGACCCACTTTAAAGGTGATGGAGGTAAAATATTTTTGATCTTTCAAACAACATTTAAATAACCAGAAAGATGAAGGTCATGGTAGGAGGCTAGTAGCATTTATGGATGAATGGCTATCGTTCAAATGATTGATTTCCAATCACATTCAATGTCACAATATGAAGTCAAACTGTGTTAAAATTCTGTTCAAATGAATAATCTGTAAGCAAGGTTTTACCACTTTCAAGGTTATAGGGATTAGTATGTTGAAATTTTAGATCAATTTCTCAATAGAACAAGCAAAAGGCTCAGAAACCTGGTATAGGGTCGGCAACAAGGATGAAGGGCTATCAGGTGTGTACATCTTAAAGATTGAAATCTTAAAAACAAACTGAATACCAGGTTAGAACAATGTAAGACATGAAGCATTCTTGAATGAATCAGTCATGTTTGCAGTCCTCAGGAAAAACCTAAATAAGCTTTAGAGAGTTCATAATTAAAATTCAGCAACAAAGTCATTATCAGCTGTGGAAAAATAACCTCTTCAGAATGTGAAAAAATATTTTTCTATGTATTTGTCATTTCAACTTTGAAGATAACAGAAGTTAATACTTTTCTAGAACACAGTAGAAAATACGTGCAACTTTGACATAGGCAGATATTGATGTAGTAGGGGAAATGGTGTTCTATTTGTGGTCACTATGATTCCATAAAAAACCATGAATCAATTATTATGTGATGAACATAAAGATTCACATTTTCTCATCAAGTTTTATGTTTTTATTGATTGTGATGTCTTCCTCAGATCTGAAGTTCCTAACCTGAGTTTCTGTGAGTACTGTGCTAGTCTGAATAATGGCGTCTACTGAGGATGCTGTGAACACTGGAGAAGAGGTGCAACCAGTCCAAAGTTCAGTCAACCAGGAGGAGTCCAGGATCAAAAGTCCGGATAATGATACAAGCTCTAATGATTACACTTTACCAGACTCGGAGGATGTGTCTCAAGCAACCAAAGTCGACAAGCAGGAGGAAACTGAAACAGTCGAATCTACCAATCATGAGTCAGGAACGGATGTCTCTAACGAGAAACAAGATAGCAGAACTGATGCTGCAGATCCCAATTTAAAAGTAGAAACGGAAGACATGAAAACTGATGACCACATTAGTGAACAGAATGGTGAACAAGATGGATTAAATGAACAGGAAAGTTCGGACAAAAATGATAAAACAAATGAACAGGAACATCCTAGTGAACAAGGCACTACTGACCAATCAGGGCAGGAGGTGGTTCAACCACTACCACAAATAGAGGAATTGGACAAGGAAGACCAGGATCTGAAGGAGAACTGCAACAACGATAATGAGGAAGAAGTGTTCAAAGAGGCAGGGGAAGATGAGGGAAAAGTTCAGACAGAGGAAGGTAAGGCTGTAACTGTGGGACACACTAACAATCAGAACACAATGGTGAAAAATACCATGAAAAATTCATAATTTGTATTTCATATATTGATTATGAATTGTTAGTGTTGTATTATGATGTATGCTAGTTTTTGTGAATTCTTATGGAAAATGATGCAGTTATTGTCAACCTCTCAGAGTGAAATATCAGGTCATATTTATAAAACATGGAATATAAAACATGTACACTAGGATATAAACCACTTCATACTAAACATTATATACAGTACTTATTTGTTACATCTTACTTATACCTCCACATCATTCTTGAAACTGCAACTGCCAGGTTTGGCTGTTATCCCAGGATGTACAGACAGACATGCATCATAGCCTGGTTCCAATTTCAATGATTCATGATCTTTACAAATACACGAAGACACTCAACATATTCCTGCTAATCACACTATACATTACATCAGTTCAAGACAACAATTGTGGGAAATATAGAGAAGTCAGCATCCCACATCACCTCCAGGAAATATCACAACCCACACATCACCTACAGGAAATATCACAACCGACACAACATCCTGACAATATCACAACCCACATCACCTACACACAATATCACAACCTACATCACCTACACACAATATCACAACCCACATCACCTACACACAATATCACAACCCACATCACCTACAGGCAATCTCACCACCCACACGACATCCAGACAATATCACAACCCACACAACATCCTGACAATATCACAACCCACACAACATCTTGACAATATCACAACCCACACAACATCCAGACAATATCACAACCCACATCACCTACAGACAATATCACAACCCACATCACATACACACAATATCACAACCCACACAACATTCAGACAATATCACAGCCCACACAACATCCTGACAATATCACAACCCACACAACATCCAGACAATATCACAACCCACACAACATCCTGACAATATCACAACCCACACAACATCCTGACAATATCACAACCCACACAACATCCTGACAATATCACAACCCACACAACATCCAGACAATATCACAACCTACACAACCTACAGACAATCTCACAACCCACACAACATCCAAACAATATCACAACCCACACAACATCCAAACAATATCACAACCCACACAACATTCAGACAATATCACAACCCACATCACCTACAGGCAATCTCACCACCCACACAACATCCAGACAATATCACAACCCACACAACATCCAGACAATATCACAACCCACATCACCTACAGACAATATCACAACCCACATCACATACACACAATATCACAACCCACACAACATCCAGACAATATCACAACCCACACAACATTCAGACAATATCACAACCCACACAACATTCAGACAATATCACAACCCACATCACCTACACACAATATCACAACCTACATCACCTACACACAATATCACAACCCACATCACCTACACGCAATATCACAACCTACATCACCTACACACAATATCACAACACACATCACCTACACACAATATCACAACCCACATCACCTACAGGCAATCTCACCACCCACACAACATCCAGACAATATCACAACCCACACAACATCCAGACGATATCACAACCCACATCACCTACAGACAATATCACAACCCACATCACATACACACAATATCACAACCCACATCACCTACAGACAATATCACAACCCACATCACATACACACAATATCACAACCCACACAACATCCAGACAATATCACAACCCACACAACATTCAGACAATATCACAACCCACACAACATTCAGACAATATCACAACCCACATCACCTACACACAATATCACAACCCACATCACCTACACACAATATCACAACCTGCATCACCTACACACAATATCACAACCCACATCACCTACACACAATATCACAACCCACATCACCTACACACAATATCACAACTCACATCACCTACACACAATATCACAAACCACACAACATCCAAGCACTATCACAACCTACACAACATCCAGACAATATCACAACCCACATCATCTACACACAATATCACAAACCACACAACATCCAAGCACTATCACAACCCACACAACATTCAGACAATATCACAACCCACATCACCTACACACAATATCACAACACACATCACCTACACACAATATCACAACCCACATCACCTACACACAATATCACAACACACATCACCTACACACAATATCACAACCCACATCACCTACACACAATATCACAACCCACATCACCTACACACAATATCACAACCCACATCACCTACACACAATATCACAACCCACATCACCTACACACAATATCACAACCCACATCACCTATATGGGACATGTCTTTGGTCATAGATGGGTATTGGTTGTAGGAATCAAAGAGACCAACAGTATTCACTAGAGCGACATCACAGAAGATAGATATTAAATAGAGTACCAAACATAGTGCCTATCTGATGCCTTCTTCTATATCTGTTGTATGGGAAACATTTATAAAAGTATCCATCAACATACTGAAAAGACAGCTATTGAAATACATGAACTGTCATACCTGTTAAGATAAACAGGTGTTGTTGTCTTGGTGAGGATGCTTGGTCTCTTGTTTTTGATGCACGATAACTAATAAATTTATGCTGATATTGGCGTAGATCCTCAAACTTCCTGTTGGCAAAAAGAGAGTTGGCAGATTGCTCAGTAGGCAGTACACATGTCCTTGTAATCATCTAAACTGTGATGTTGCAGTTCTCCCATGTACAACTGTAGAAAATTATGTACATGGCTTATATTTCTATAAGGTATCTGTGATATTGTCTATTTAATATTTAATTTCATATGTCACAATGAGACAAAGCAAAAGTGACTGAGTGCAGGGTATTTTTCCCCTAGGTGACTTTGATAGTCAGGTGTTTGCAATAGTTGTTGACAACAATTTGTTACCAGGTGTCACCTTAAGTGACCAGTGGCCATTTTTCAGTTAACACAAAACAAAACACTATACATTGAAGCATACTATGCGGTCACATATCAACAGGTATTTTGAATAGAGTTGGTATTTGTATCAAATCAATGCTCTTTATAAACAGGTATTTTATACAGAGTTGGTATTTGTATCAAATCACCGCTCTTTATAGACAGGTATTTTATATAGAGTTGGTATTTGTATCAAATCACCGCTCTTTATAGACAGGTATTTTGTGTAGAGTTGATATTTGTATCAAATCACTGCTCTTTATAGACAGGTATTTTGTATAATATTTGTATCAAATCACTGCTCTTTATAGACAGGTATTTTCAACAGAGTTGGTATTTGTATCAAATCACTGCTCTTTTATGTCAAGTAGGTCCCCTTGGTAAAGTTTAAGTTTAATCTCTTTAACCTCTAAGTACATTGTAAAACATATAACAAAAAAGATGAATGATTGCTCAAAACTTAATAACGGGAGACATGGTTTGGAGCATAGCATCAGAAATGTTCACCATTTTTAAATGGGACTAGATTTATATAATCTGGTGAGATGCTATACAGCAGAATAACAGTGTGTAGGAGTGAGGTTGCCAGGCATAATATCCGACAATGATATAATACTGAGCCTATACGCTGAGATATTTAATTCTGGTCCATCCAAGTACACGTGAGATCATCAGGTAAGTTGATCATAGTTACCAGTGGTGTTACAATATCTCAAGTTTTACATAGTTACCAGTGGTGTTACAGTATCTCAAGTTTTACACAGTTACCAGTGGTGTTACAATATCTCAAGCTTTACACAGTTACCAGTGGTGTTAAAATATCTCAAGTTTTACATAGTTACCAGTGGTGTTACAATATCTCAAGTTTTACACAGTTACCAGTGGTGTTACAACATCTCAAGTTTTACACAGTTACCAGTGGTGTTACAATATTTCAAGTTTTACATAGCTAAAGTGGTATTAAAATATCTCAAGTTTTACACAGTTACCAATGGTGTTACAATATCTCAAGTTTTACACAGTTACCAGTGGTGTTAAAATATCTCAAGTTTTACACAGTTACCAGTGGTGTTACAATATCTCAAGTTTTACACAGTTACCAGTGGTGTTACAACATCTCAAGTTTTACACAGTTACCAGTGGTGTTACAATATCTCAAGTTTTACATAGCTAAAGTGGTGTTACAATATCTCAGGTTTTACACTGTTACCAGTGGTGTTACAATATCTCAAGTTTTACACAGTTACCAGTGGTGTTACAATATCTCAAGTTTTACACAGTTACCAATGGTGTTACAATATCTCAGGTTTTACACTGTTACCAGTGGTGTTACAATATCTGAAGTTTTACACAGTTACCAGTGGTGTTAAAATATCTCAAGTTTTACATAGCTAAAGTGGTGTTACAATATCTCAAGTTTTACATAGCTAAAGTGGTGTTACAATATCTCAAGTTTTACATAGCTAAAGTGGTGTTACAATATCTCAAGTTTTACACAGTTACCAATGGTGTTACAATATCTCAGGTTTTACATAGTTACCAGTGGTGTTAAAATATCTCAAGTTTTACATAGCTAAAATGGTGTTACAATATCTCAAGTTTTACATAGCTAAAGTGGTGTTACAATATCTCAAGTTTTACACAGTTACCAATGGTGTTACAACATCTCAAGTTTTACATAGCTAAAGTGGTGTTACAATATCTCAAGTTTTACACAGTTACCAATGGTGTTACAACATCTCAGGTTTTACACAGTTACCAGTGGTGTTACAATATCTAAAGTTTTACATAGCTAAAGTGGTGTTACAATATCTCAGGTTTTACATAGTTACCAGTGGTGTTACAATATCTCAAGTTTTACATAGCTAAAGTGGTGTTACAATATCTCAAGTTTTACACAGTTACCAATGGTGTTACAATATCTCAAGTTTTACACAGTTACCAGTGGTGTTAAAATATCTCAAGTTTTACACAGTTACCAATGGTGTTACAATATCTCAG